TGTCAGCAGCGCAAAATCAACTTCTAGCGTTGTTGTATATGTTTGTTCCATTATATGAATGTCTGATTATTATTAGTGAATCAGTAATGATTGGTAATAAATCAACTTTCAAACATTACGAAACTGTTATTCGGAGATTTTAGAGTTTAACATAAATCGATATTATGTGAAACGCCTTTACATATTTTAAAGGCAAAATATCGTATTTTACAAGCATATAAAACACTTCGTAATTTATTCTAGCATGTTATAACAATATTCTTATCTAATTGGCTTGCAATTTTACCCCACTGCTCATTTTTAGATTGAGCTAAAATTTTGCTTTCTTTCTAACTTCGATACTAAGTGAACCGGAGCTGATCTACTGGATCTGAATATGGAAAGATTTTCGGTTAGGAGCGTACGCAAAGGAAAAGACCAAGAAATTGTTTTAAACTTTAACTAATAAGTGGAAAAGTGAGTATCTATTTACTTTTTGTGTTTAGGTAGTTTTTCTAAATATTGATATACATACGATTGTAGATTATTAGATATACATAGTTACAATATATAGATACTTAACAATCACTCAAAAAAGGCGCGTAGGGACCAAAATGGTCTGGTTATGCTTTTTTCGTTGTTTCTAGGGCCAGAGAAATACACCTCTTAACAAGCCTCTCTCTTTTCTTTTTTAATCATCTACATTAGATGTATATAATTTTTGCAATATGTATAACTAACTGCTAGAGCTGGATTTCTCTCAATATTATAGCATAGGGGGGATCCAACGTGAGACAATGCCGTAATGTAGATACGTAGGTTAACTGATATAGATACTGCCATATTAGAATACTTCAGTTACCTTCATAGTGTAATGTCGTATGGAATCTTGATGTGGGGAAATACTGCCGACATACAAACGATTCTTGTGCTCCTTAAAAGAGCCATTGGATCAATTTATAATCTTGGATTAGGGACTCTTTAAGGGAAAATTTTAAAGAAATAGATTTAATGACTGTTGCCTTTCAATACATATACGAGAACTTAACACTTAACAGAAATTTTAAAAAAATAACGGTAAATAACTACACTGCAAAAAGTTAATAATTCATTCAAGCGTCTTTGAGTAATCTTCTACAATAAGGTCCCAAGCAAAATACAACAATACGGTTGTAGACAGTAAACGAAAATAAATACATATTATTTTTTTCTGGTAGTGTTTTACTATTACCGATAATCACATTTTTATGCTTATTATATTAATAATATTGCTTAAACTAATTATAAAAAAAAACAAATATTTTATGCTCGTTGTCACGTCACTGCAACAGCGCGTGATTTATAATGCTGTACAGAAAATTTTACTAATGAAAAATGCTTAAAAAATCCTCTTTGCTCCTGACACTTGAGATGGAACTCGAACCCATGACCTTTTACAATACGGGCGACGCTCTGTAGTAGCTAAAAAGTAACGAGTGCTTGAAGAATTCGACAATAAATTGATTTTTTGATTTTGACTTATTAGTAATAATTCATGTACTTACACTGATTTTATACAGCGCAAGAATAAAGTGGATATACCTCAAACCCGAGATTAATTTTAAAGAGCAGAAAAAATCCGATTTTTTAAATAAAAAGTTATTTACTTTTACACGATTTAAACTACTGCACGCACGACGTTGTCAAACTTATATCAATGAAAGAAAGAACTAAAGAAAGAAGAAATAAAAAAATAAAGAAATCCCGGGAAGGTCCACATTAATATCAACATTTCGATGCAAGTACATAAATAACTCTACATAATTTCGACCTCTGCTTATTACATGAATTATATTCTTTTTAATATTTTTTAGATATATTTTATGTGTTTAGATATAATGCAGTTTAAATCTAATATTAAAAAATACTTATCAAAAAAGTTTATTTAAAGTTATCTGCGCTACGATTCTATAAAAATTCAAACCCGAATTCGAATTCACTCAGGAGTACGAATTCACTTCAAGAAGCGACATCCGCCTTAAATAAGGATGATGACTAATTTTTGTTTGTTTGTCCGTCAGGGAGAGTGTTAAAAAATGTTAAACACGTATTTTTTTATTTTTTTCGTAATCATAAAACGGCAATACATGGAGTTGAAATTTCGCATGACGTCACGTTAGGGTACGTTTTCTACTCAACTGTGACGTAGCGAGCCCCCACTCCTCAACTTTAATGCCTGTTATCTAAGCTATTTCTTGTTAAATTGAAGTAAAAAAAAAAAATCGTATCTAATATTTTTCTATTATCTGACTGACGAACATAGAATTGCATTTTTTTTAACCAGTCATCATCCCTATTGGTAGTAACGTTTTGTAACATAAACGAAGTGACTTTCGAAATGACATAGGAATTGAATATCTGAGACACGTATTTTCAAACAATTTTTTTTTGTATTTATATAAAAAAAAAATGAATCAATTCTACACTAAACGACGTGAATTTGGACACATGAGTAGCTCTTTGGTGTAGTGGATAAGCGCCGCGGCCCACGATCGTAGTCGTTAAGCAACTTTCGTAAGGGTCGGTCACGGGGTGGGTGACCAAAAAATAATTATCTCGAGCTACTCCGTGCTTCGGAAGGCACGTAAAGCCTTAGGTCCCGGCTGCATTTGCAGTCATTAATACCTTCCAATCCGCATTGGGCCAGCGTGGAGGGTCACGGCTCATCCTCCTTAACTATCCATAAGGAAGGCCTGAGCCCCTGTATTGGGGACGTAAAAGGGCTGGCAATGATGATGATAAGAGTTTATTATATAACAGATAAGAATGCTTGGACTTAAGATAGTCCAGCTGCTGGATAGGTGATTTCTTTATTCAATTATTATGTTATCATTAATAAGATTATAGCTTTTTTTTCTTTATTTATAATGTATTGATCTGGTAATGACATGATTTTGTGAAAGTCGTTACATCCATTGGAACGGGTGAGATTTTTGCTCGTTCTTTTTATCATCGAAAAAACGTGTACAGTACGTTTTTTGGAGTGGTAGAAGAAAAAATTTTAGACGATTCAAAAGTACTTTTAAGAATTCTATTTGAATATACATTATTTTGACTTTGAGTTTGATAAGTTTTGTCACACAAAGCCCTTAGGGTATTTTTTTATTTGTTGTCCCTAAATTGCCTTAACGGATTTCAATCTCACGAAAGGTCACATGTCGATCTTCGATTTATTAATTTACTTATAGCCACGATGTTCTCTTCGTTGAAGCGTGTTCTGGACGACGTCCTTCACGAGATTTGACACAAAAACTAGTATATCAGTGTCCACGCTGATATCAGTGTTCGATGGTTCTCAGATATTTAATAGTCCTCTTCATCAAAAATTTGGAAAACGTATGACTTCACCTCTTTGGAAAATTTATTAAAATAATTCTATGACAATTTTCTGTTTCGTTTCAAAAGAACGCTGACTCTAAACTCCTACACGGTTAATTCAGCTATTTTAAGTTTATAAATTCTTAATATCAAAGATATTTAATATCTAAGCGCTATACGGTTCTAAATTCAACTTTTACTATGTCTGATATATTCAATGGTAAAATCGTCCTTTTCCTGTGTTTACATAAATTTGGAAACCTCTGTGGTCATGTGACAAGGTCGATTCCTGGTCAAAATAATGTATAAAATTATTGTTTCTATTTTCTATTCTAGCTTCTTAGTTCGGAAACTGAACAATATACTTATATTTGTGATGTTAAAACACATTATTATACAACACCTTATATCTATATAAATAAAAATGAATTTCCGTTCGTTAGTCTCGCTAAAACGCGAGAACGGCTGCGTCTTGACAGCGCGTGAAAAAAAGACATGCTGTCGCCATTATAGTAATTAGTGCACGAAAACATTATTAATTTAAACCCTAATTATAATTTTAACCAATTATATGTTTTTTATTAAGAGGTAAGTTTTACGAAGTTCACCGGGTTAGCTAGTATTTAATAAAATTACTAAGTATAACCCAACAATACAAATTATTTTAAATAATTTCCTAAATAGTCATATTTCAGTCAATGTCACTACGATTTAAAATAAAGTATTCATGCGATTTGTTTCATAATGATATTATAATTTCAGTCATTTGATATAGTCATAATGTTTAGTATTAATATAATTGTAGATATCCGCCAGTATACACTATATAAATGTTTCGAAACCTCCTGACATGTACATAAAAATCATCTCCTCCAGAGGCAAAACAGGCATATTGTAAACAGGTAAACTAACCTTATTTTCTATTTGTAAATTATTTGTGAATTAGATGTTTACCTGCGAGTGCGCCCGCATAAATTAAAGCTTATGTCATCACCAGGTTTCCGTAGGTGAAATAATTTTCATGATCGGATCAGAATTTCTAATGATTACCCTACAAATAAAGAAGCGAAGTAAAAAGCTTTACCTTCACCCCAAAGTCACCCCTTCTGGAATTTTCAATTTCCAACAATAATTTATACTTTTTAAATGATCGATTCTCAAATTCTATATAACAATTTGCATATATTCCATCTTTTAGCCGCATGTCTAAAGTTTTTAAGACTATTTCATTATTGAATTTACCTGGTTATTTTTTTAGAAAGATGCGCAGATTCCTCTTTTCTGTAACTTTAATAATATGTGAAAAACACAAACACCCCAACAAAGCTACATTTTGAGTAAATATAACTAATATTAAAAACAACATTTTCCTTGTTCCTTATGATTTAGCTTTCAAAATTAAAACCAATAAGCGCGTCTTCTACAGTACCATTACTTCTAGCAAATAATCGATATTTCAAAAAATTACAATTACGTTTTATATACTTTAACATAAACCTTAGATTTGATAACGTTGACTGGAAATCAATAATGTTCAAAGGTGGTATGTAATTCTCTAAGTCAGGAAAAGAAAATTGTTTCGTTTAATGAAGCAAAAATATGTTGTTTACAAAGAGATTTCATTATGTTTAATATCTTCGATTATTTAATTCTTAAACAGAATCATGAAGGTCATCTTCGTTGTAATGGCTGCATTGGCCCCATTCGTGCTGTCCTACGACGAGAAATACGATAAAATCGATGTTGACAAGATTTTGGGTGACGAAGCTCTCTTCAATGCATATCTTGACTGTTTACTGGATAAAGGACCTTGCAACCAGGAGAATGCAGCTGACTTTAGAAGTAAGTTTTGCAACTCAATAAAGAACAACTCAACTAAGGGTGAATGTAGGATAACACTACGCAATTTATGTTTAAGCCTTCGGAAAATGAAAAATATTAGTGAATCTTATATGCAAAAGGTACTTACTAATAATGGGATAGGCACTTCCACGTTTTAAGCCATTTTAGAATTAACTGGCTATATCAACAATTCCCCGCTACGCACACTTCACATATACTCTACCTTCTTTTATCAAATTCTTGGCAATGTCCATAGTCAGAAGTTCGTCACCATTCCATCATTGCGTAATAGTAAGAATTACAGCGAAAACACAGTCGACATTTTCGTGCTTTAGTACCCACCAATTCTTACTTGGCCTTAGCGTGGCACTTTCCTTTTCTATCCATAGATAATTAAAGACCCAGGCGTAATAGTTAATGCATACACCGATGATGAAGATATTAAATTGCATAATTAATTATTTAAACCTCTAGATCTTAGAGGTTTAGATAGTTACTTTTAAAAAAATATTTGGCAGTTTGTTGAACCAATTTCAGGTTTTTATCCTGATAAAGGCCCAGAGGGCAAAAAGCCCAGTAGCGAACGTAACGTGCATTTCAAAGAAGCATAGTCTAATTCCTTGACCGCCTAGCAAGATCAAATAACAAATGATGGTGTAGATCGATGAATCTCAAGATGTCACCATTTCTAAAGTCTTTGTATTTAGATTGTTACAATCATTTTTATTTTTATATTTTTATTCGCAGAACTATTGCCTGAAGTTATAGCGACTGCTTGCGGTAAATGCACACCCATCCAACGACAGGGCGTAAGAAAGACCGTCAAAGCCATCACTCAAAAGAAGCCTGAGCAATTCAAGGAATTCATTGCAAAATACGACCCGACCCACGAACATGAAGCAGCATTTTCAGCCTTCGTTCTTGGAACTGATTAAATGAATGCCAAATATGACAGCCCAATCGTGTTGGTAATGTTTGCTGATGTCGGCCAGTGCAGTCGCTGCAACCAAACTTATGTTTATTAACAACCATAAATGGCGGCGTTACCGACTACACTTGGCCACTTTTGTGAACATATTTACCAATGTATTTTAGATTTTAATGTCTTACTTACGTAACGTATCGGATTAGATTGTCTTTGAGGGTTATTATGCCATTGTTTCTCGTTTTTTTACCATCTTGTTAAAGAAGGTACTTGTTGGATATCAACTTGTAATATTTTTTAGTGTTCCATAAACTTCATCGTTTCATTTTATTTACATTCTATAAAAGAAAGAGTAATTGTCAATTATTTATACGAATACTATAAAATTTATTAATTAGGCAATTTAGAATCCTAAATATATTTATTATTAAAACTTAATAAATTATCAGTTACGAAATTTGAACTTATTGTATATGTGGAGCATTACGTTTGATAAATAAATACCTTTTGTAAAAAAAGGCATTTTTTTAATTATACTTTAGTTTAAACAGTAAAACCCTCATGCTACCTTATTTTACAGATTTCATATAACTTATTAGAGCAATTTTTTAAATCAAAATTACCATAGAACTGGTCAGAGCCATAATGCTGGCCCAAAGGTGATTGTTAAGTTTTCGTTGTCCAACCAGAGGCAATAGCTTAAATTGTCTTCGGAAGCCAAGATTTTATACAATAGTGTAATGAGACTGTCACTATCACAATAATACTGATGAGACCTTCCGATCTGTGGACAGATGGGTATTTTAATGATCTTGAAAATAGGTTGAGGGCACTTCGCTTGAACTTGAAAACATCGAATACCAGAATAACTGCACGCGTAGCATGACGAACGCGAGAACGTTTTGTCTACACTCAAATGTCACTTTTCTCGGGTGCGCCCATACTATATCTCACTCTCGACCTGAGAAACTGACAAATGAGTGTAGACAAAGCGTATCTCGAGTTTGTCATGCTACACGTGCTGGTTATATCTTAGCGGTATATTTTAAAAATAAAATAAGTCTTTAATATCGCGCAACACTATTACACATTTATAATGCCGTAATATAAAATTATTAATTTTTAAAACATTGAGAAAAAACGGAATTCAATAAGTAAGCGCTGCGGCCCGCGATCGTTGTTGTTTATTAAGCAACTTTTGTAAGGGTCGGTCACCGGATGGGTAACTAAAAAATCTCGAGCTACTCCGTGCTTCAAAGACTTTTGAAACGTGTCTACGTTAAGCCGTTAGTGTTGACTGCATTTGTAGACATTGATACCCTCCAATTCGCATTGGGCCAGCGTGGAGAGTCATGGGCCATCCTCCTTAAATAAGGAAAGTCCTGAGTCCCTACAGTGGGGACGTAAACTGCTGATAATGATTAATCATTTATAAAAATCTTGGTTACAGACTACGAGGGGCTTTGCTATGTTCAATTATATGAATTTTATTATATACAAATACAAATAATGCTTTTTAAAGATACGTAAAACAGTTGCATTTTACGTTCGTACGTATTTAGTTATTGTTGTTATTAATTTATTAAGGATATCGATGGCGCATGAATGGATTCAGCAACTTTTGCAATGAAGGGGGAAAGGAAAGGTGACCAAAATTTATTATCTCAAGCTCCGCGTTTCAGAAGGCACGTTAAGCAAATGGTCCCGGCTGCATCTACAAACTTTAACACTCAGCAATCCGGACTGCGCCCGCTCGATGAGTCATGGCTCATTCGTTTCGATGATCTGGAAGATATTCTACCTATATAACAGCCAACGTTGGCTTAGATGATCAATAACTATCCTTTTTTAGAAAACAAAAATAAGTATTAGAAAACTTCACACACATTGCTCAGATTCCAAGATGAGTGGCTAAAGCCCCCCGATATGGAGCATCTGAGACAACGAAGCTACCAAAACACCCAGAATCGAGACAATAGAGAAATTAATTTTTTATATTGATCCGAACGGGAATTGAAATCCGGTGTCCGACGTCGTCAAAATAAAAAAGGCTTTGTCAACAAGAATTTTGTCAACATGACGTTTAGATATTGTCGTAAATCCATGATATTATGAGGCGGAACGGTTGCGTTGCAGATTATATGACAGCTTGCACAAGTATTACGTCATACCGACTCCGCCGGCACAAGCTGCGCAACACCAACGACGTTTACCTGACACAATAACACACAAACTGCCCAAGTGCGCAATGAATATAATTGGTGGACTCATTCGCTAATAAAACTAAATGATTCTCACCCAATTACACAAACAAACGTCCATTAAGATTTTATAACGAATTTAAGTTCTAATTAAAATTCGAAATTGGATAATTTGTAAATGTAGCATTTAAATTTAATAGGCGTTTGTGCAGCCGGGACAAGTCAAAGTACAGTACTTAACAGTACTTTTGAATCGTCCAACTTTTTTTTTGGTATCTGTAAAATAATAAATTTCTAAATAATTCTGGAATTGTTCAACCTTAATTTTGCGGCATGACCTTAGCTACATTTTAAAAATTAAATATTTAGTATTCATTATTTAGTCCATTGTAATGTAATAATCAAATTATCATTACTAATATTATAAATATGAAAGTATCTCTGTTTGTTTGTTACACAAAAACCACAGTACCTATTTCAATTAAATTTAGTTCAGAGACTTCGTATTACACTGGGATATATTTTATCGAAGAAACGAGTTTAAGGGGTTGAAATAACTGGAATAAATAATGGAAGTTAGATTGCGGATGCAGTCGCTGGCTAAAGTTAATAACTAGATATAAAGTAGTGCCTAAAGCGCTTATAGTTTTCAAGAACTAGTACTGAAAATCTAAGTTTAAAATATTTCTATTACAGTTCTGCGATCGCCTGACTAGGTAAAATTTAAACATAATATCTTTAGTTTTAAAATACTTAACCATTATAAACAATTGAATTTTATGAGTGTGCATTACCTTATACTTAATTATGTAATTATGAAATTAAGATATGAGTAATTTACATAAGGCATCTAATTCTACGTAATAATTTTATTTTATATCAGTCTCTTCCAACTTTTGCTACCCCGGTAATTTTTGTATATAGGTAAAAAAATATTAAGGAAAAATAAATTGAAAAGAAAAGATTTTTTTATTTCCTATTTACTCGGGAATCGAAATTAATTATTGAATAATAATTTAAAATCAAAATTTTGTTTAAAAATTTTATTAAAATATCAGTCGACAATCTTCATAAATCAATCCAATCATGGTATTTAATAAATAATAAAGATATTTTTGAATAACATAGCTCAAAATATAACCAAATACTTAGCTAGATGTACAAAAAGAATCCTATTTTATAATTTAACTCTTTTTACACACTAAAAATCATTGTACTTATTTATGTTAAGGAAAATGAATACATAATTATAATAAAGTTTCAAACATAACACCAAATTGCTAGAGAGCTAATAAATCACAAAAAGAAACCAATAGCTTATTTACAAGAATGAAATGCAAAATTAAATAAAAATCGATGTGTAAAATAAAAATACATTTTTTTCCTAATTTAATTTAAAAAAAGCGAAGTTGAAATAATTCAAAAGAAAGTAAAGCTTACCCTCCAAAATACGTACATAATTGCTTACTTCGTATAAATACTAATTTGTAAACCAGTCATGATATAATAAAAAGCTATCCTATTTTTTGATAGCACATTGATAGCAATTCTGTTGTACAAATTAGAGTAGATTTACATTTAGTCACACTGCTTTTTAGTTTATGAATATAAATAAGATAATAGAAGTCACTTTTAGATTTTAGTATTTCATAGAATATATTTATAGTTTGATTACATATATCTATGAAAGAGCATTAAAACAAACCGTAATTAAAGTTTGGTTTAGATGGTAGTACAAAATTACATATGACCTCAACCGGGCGGCCGGCATCGAAGAGCATTTCACACTGTGTTAAAGGAAATTCAGACTTCTGTACAATTAATTGTTAAGGTCCATGCTTTCGCATGCGCTTTCCAGCAGATGTAGCCGTCTCGGACGAACTCGGTCGGCTACTGGCGCGTGCTCTCCGCACCGCCGCACGTTTAGTAGAGATCGTGCATTATTCCTCTCGTAATTAATTACATTTTAACTTTGTGACGGTTTCATTTCTTGTTTATGAAAAACTTACTAAATAAATCACCATTTTAAAATTTCAATGGATAAGGTCAGACACAAAATTTCATTGTGGATTGGATGTTGTTACTTTTACAAGCAAAATTCTGATGACTGCTTAGAGATAGTAAAAATGACTTCAAGTGACGAATGACTCAGTAGAAATGTAATTTCTTTTTATTCATAGAATCTTTATTAGTCCGACCTTAACCTAAGTATATCTAAGTTTCCTGTAGAATGCTTAGCTGCCTTGGATGAATTTGTCGAAATCGGCACGGTACTTGCCAGAGGGGTCAGTCTTTTGCACTAGCTCGTCCCATTGTTTCGGGTGTTTTTGCTGTATGGCTTTGATTACTTTCCTGATGTTTAGCTTCTGCTTCTCGGTGCATTTAGCACATGTAGTCTCAACGGCTTCAGGTAGGGCTTCTAGAATTGACAAGAATTCCCATTAGAATCTTAAAACAACGAATTTGTAAATAGGTACTACTGGTATAATTTTATTATTTCATAAAAAAAATATTAAGTAGATAACACAAATCTGAAAATTATATAAGGAAAACGTTTGGATATATATCATCCAAATCTATGTAACGGGTGTACATAATAAATAAACATATGTTTCGTATTATAATACTGAACTGACTAGCAATGTGTAGGGGTCACTTACACATATCTTAATACCTATTTTACAATATATCCAACACAGTTAATCTAAATAAGCTTTAAGAAAAAGAGAATATACAATGGAAACAATTGAAGACTTTTTCATTAATTTTTACTTATTTTATTATTCCCAAAACTATTCTTTAATTTATTTTTTCAAAAATGTTTAGATATATTTACGATTACGACTTGCAGAATTTTAAAATGGTATAGAGTTAATAAAATTATCCATGATTCAATATTAATGTCTTCTATCTTATAGAGAAATACTTGGATTATGAAGCTTTCGTAGTCCAGATGATCTATTTCAATATAACATTGTGAATGAATAAATTGATAAAATCTAATAGTGTCTTTTCTTAAAGTTCTAAATCCATATCGTTAATTGTCACCGAAAAAGAACTCATTTCTATCACGGTCAGACATTCGAATAAAGGGGAAAAACCTGGCTGTCGAAAGCGTACCATACACGCAATGCCGGATCAACAGCGCAAGCGTCGAACAGACCTTGACCTAAACCTCCTTCTACGAGATCTCATTATTAACTCGATTATTTAACAACTTGTAATAATTACGGCCAGTAAGAAAACGACATTGACTTAAGTAATCTGTTTACTTTAACGAAGCAAAGTGTAAACTATTTTGTAATACTTTGTTTATTGATTTAACAAGACCAACTCTAAGGGCTATTTTTAGGTATTACGTTATCATAAACAATGTACCTACCTATTCTTAAAAACGTTCTAGAGATATATAAAATGTTAATTAATGAAGATAATAATTGTGCATACTTTTATGTTACTATCTTTTTTTTATAAACTGACTCCTAAAAATCAATTGGGACTAGCGCATGCAGTCTTGATAGATTAAGCTGATCGTATTGTAGCGATTATTACAAGTCTACAAGTAAATCTTAATGTCAAGTTAGCAATACTCGGAGTTCCTTGGCGTTCAGTTTTACAGCTCGGTAAATGGGCTTTGCGATTGCTATTTAACTAGCGCTATCAATGTCGAGACTGCCGGGATAATTGACTATACAGTTAGGTAGACTAACATCCTTTTTCACAGTCGTCCATTAAAATTGTCATTAGCGACATTATCCATACAAATTTGACATTCCTTATAGCTCAAAGGCGTCATTAAACCTCAATGGACGTTTGTGCAACTGAGCGTAACTGATATAAAAAAGTAATTAAACTCGTTAGCAGTACTAGTGTTGCATTATTCGATCAGAACTCCGCTCTGCACCCAATTTGAAACAGATTATGTACAGTAGTGATCGGATGACGTAAAACTCGTATTGTTGATAGGTTTCTGGGGGTAATCTCGCGATAAAATATGCAAAAATTTTTGGAAATACGTAAACCATAACACCATAAGAAAATAACGTAAAATATAACTAAAACTAAATCAAAATCCTTAGTGTAGTTATAAATTATTTCAAATCTTGCACATGGAATGATATAGGTATAAATTTTACATTCCACCTCAAGAATATCTACATTATAAATATAGAATCTCTTTGAACTGAATCACGATGTCCGATGAACGAATTTTAATGAAAGTATATTCTATGCAGAATACCACACACTAAAATATTGAAAAGATTTATATTTAAGACACTAAAATTGCAGAAACTTTTGAAATATATCTAGTCGATATAAAATCGGTGGTCGATATCCCACGCTTGGTAAAAAAGTTGAGAATTCGTGTTTCGTAATGTACACAATAGCTTAATAAATATATTATATTTCACTCTTAAGGAATTATAGTAGCCACTTACTTAATGTAAATTATATGTTTACTTCATAATTAATATTGGTTTCAAAGTAACTAAACTTAAGCAGAACTAATTACATAATATCACATAAAACTTCTCATTTTAAATCGTAAAACTAATAAGTATTTGACAATACTAATAATGATTTGTGGTGAATAGAAATAAATTTAATAATACATAAACACTTACAAAAAGACTTAAACGCGTTCCAATAAAAGTAAAAACTCGCCGAAAAACTTCCAGGTACTTTATATTAAGTAGCAAGTCTATTTACCAATTACCAATTTAAAAAGATACTGATTTACGTTGTTTAAAAATAGGATTATAATTTAAACTCAAATCTAACAATGTTTGTTTTTCACCATTTTTTAATCTTATATTAATAAAAAATGCTTAGAAAAACATTAACTTACTTCTGAAATCAGCTCCCTCTGGCGTACACCGGCCTTTTTCCAAGAAACAATTGATATATGCTTTTAAAAGTCTGTCGTTGGAGATAAGAGTATCCACATCGAAGTTATCATATTTAGCACTATATTTATCAGCTGAATATGCTGCAACAATGAGGCAAGACAGGAGAATAACAGTCTTCATGGTGATTTGAATTCTGCAATCAAATTTTTCAAAATTAGAATCGATTAATGCTTGTTCCTCTTTTTTCTTTAACTTTTCTGTAAACGTAAGAGGTTCAATATGTTTCTAACATTAAAGCAAACAGGTTTAACTGACAACTGAATTGAGTTCTTGAACCGAGAACATATTACTCAAAATTTGTTTAAAAACAAAGATTTTTTGTATCTATTCATCTTTTGCTTTTCTCTGAACGTAAGAGGTCTAATATGTTCCAAACTTTAAAAAAGATAGGTTTTACTCACAATTCAATTTTAATTCTTTATTCAACCGAGAACGAATGAGTCAAGATTAGTTTGAAACAAAGACCGTGGCTGGTCCCGAATATCAATTGGTATAATGATGTTGGTCCAATGGTCATAGAAAACGCAGTTCGAATATAAATAAGCTTTTCAATGTCAACTGATAATACTTATATTAATACATAATATTTCAAACTTGTATTGATTTAATTATTTTAAATAATAATTTAATTCAATAATAAAATACCATTAAAAATACACCAAAACATGTCAAAAAAACATTTCACTCGAACTTTTCTCATCTCATTCGCAATTTTATTTATACACTATTGTCTCAAGTAATTAACATAACATTTTAGAAATCTGGTCGAAAACTTATTTTAACTACTAAAACATTATTAGGCCGTGCTTAAAATTTTTAAATGAAGTATTTAAATTCGATTCAAATGTTTAAAACGTTACTTAAAAAATTAAAATAACTTTTTTGATGATAGTAATATTACTGTAGTTTACCACGAAATATACGCTCACAGATCACAACATGAATGACACAATTCTTAACCAAATGTACGGGTTCGTTCACCCACCTTTTACTCTGTATAATGGGCCCAAAGAACTAGCATTGGCAGAAAGCGACAGTGGTTTATATTGACGACCACTACTCAGTGAGCACTTGGTCAATCATGCAATCGCAGGTGCATACGAATTTGAACCTTACCCTTAAGAGATAACGTACGTCGTACATTAAAAACACTAAGCACAAGAGACACCATACAGATCTAGTAGTTAAATTACAGTAACAATTTCCAAGAAATTAAGATGACTGTATTAAAAAAAACTTATTTTTTTAAAGGAAAATCGGAGAATTAATATGCTTGATTAAATATTGACGTGTTATTTCCCAGTTACGTAACTTGTCATTGTATAATCAAACATAGTTTAAACAAAATTGACAAACACCTTAAATTGAATCAAACTTTAACTTGATAGTTTCTAGTTATTGTAGTTTAAAAACAGAATTAATGTGCGTCGCTTCTCCTTTAAGTTATAATAAAAATAATAATTCTTGATTTCAGACGACCTTTTTCTAGTTGACACGATTCAAATAGTTAGACTTTGGTTTTTTTTTCGCTAAAAATATCTGAATTTCATTGACAAACAGCCAAAATAAATAAAATCAATTTAAAAAAATCAGAATTAGTTAAATTAATAATTCAAATACATTCAATCTCTCTCCTAATATGTAGTTAAAAACTAATGCTCTAAAAAGTAACAAAGTTTGTTTTATGGTGATCATTATTGATTACATGTTATTATATATTTTTTTACAATTTAGCTTTTGTTTAACTTGCAGTGTATATTTGCTAAATCTTACTGGATTTTGCATGTACTCTTTAATCACCCAGAAATTTTGCATACATAAGTTTCGTTTAAAGGACAATGCATGCTGACATAGTTAACTTAAAAAACTTATTGACACATCATACGCCATCTTCGGCCTCGCCATTTCACTGCAATTATTTTCACCTTTATGTATGCTTTTGAAGCTCCTAAAAGGCACAAGATAACCATGAAGAGTCACTGAAATCCCTGAGTATTTACAATACATATTTTATTACAAAAAGTCAGTTGTTATCGAGCATATCAATTACGTTATTTATTGACACAGTTTTCTTTATTAAAACGATAAATATCAAAAGTATTTGATGAGTATTGAGTAAATAAAAGGTTACATAATGTATTTTTAATAATCAGGGTAACAACTAGAAAAACATATTTCACAAGTAACTTAGCCTCTCTCTAATACAGGGAATTGTAACTCTAATACTTTTTAACTCTTAGTATTTACTATACGTTTTCTCTTACACATGACATTTTGTTCATGATCATACATAATGGAGTTTTAAAGGTTTATGTAAGAACCTAACTTTAAAAACCTCAGACACTGAATACTGTGCAAAAAATAATTAGTAGCGTCGCTTTGGTGTCAATTTATTATTTAATGTAAGGATTGTAAGGTATTAATTAATATAAGGGTATGTGGGGTAGTCAGAGAGGACAGAGTACCATAAAGGACGATCGATAATACGTCATTCACCTCCTCCACTTTCGTTACTCTTTTCATATATGCCCGCCGGATTTTTTTTACCATAACTGAAATAGGTATTAAATTTTTTTTAAAAATTCTTAAAAATAAAAATAAGCTTAATGGCAAAAAAGGTGTTCTTAAAAAAACTTATTATTTTGAAGAACAAAGTAAAAAAGTCAAGCACTTATATGAATAGTAATTTTCCGCCAGCGGCTTCGCCTACGTGTTCATGTTCATAATTAAACTTTCCTCTAGAATTATTATGTATATTGATGAATGCCGTATTAGAAACTAAATATAGTTTATAACATCGCAGCCTACAGACAGCGGGAAACGACTTCATATATTCTATATAAGAATGACGTATCATGAAAAGGAGGCTTAATCTCCATTGATTTATATTAAAAATACCTTTATGGTATAGATACAGAAAAAATTGTGTGCAATTTTTTATGTTATGATGACACAACACACAATTATGTCTAGAGAATCGATGCTCTAAAACGTTCCTTTTTTTTTTTATTTTATTGATGAATAATAATTACATATCAATCGTATCACTTAGTGCAGCAAAAACCAGAAAGGTTTGTCCGTGCACTACTTTAACAACATATTTGTATTAACAACTATAAAACCACAGTTTGCTTATGGATTAGTTAGATTATTGGGTATAAAATTACTGTTTACACAATTAGAAAGTTCAATAAAAACACGTAAATATTCTAGTTAATAACTTATGTAAGAAAAGACAACAATCGGGTATCTGTAAAATACTTCGGATTAGCGTACAACCAAACGGGCAACACAACGCTGCCGCTATACAGTTTAGGTACACCACACATACATAAACAACCTCACTCATCAGTTGTGTGATTTGTACAGGATGTTCCACATATCGTTGTTTAAACTATTTTTTATGTAAAATATTATCAAATGTTATGATTTATATAAAAATTTTGATATATAAAAGATAAAACCCTACATTTGAAAATACATTATTATCAAATGTAAGGATTCAATGAAGGGTCTAATTTGGATAAAAAATATTTTGTAAATAAATTTTTTAGGTTCATTTTATTTAAATTTTGTATTAGATTAGAAGGAAATTGATTGATTAAGTTTGGAATTATATATTTCATTGTTCTTTTACCATGCACATTATTATAGTAAGGCATATATAATGTTTTTTTGTTACTAGCACTTCTAATTCCTTTACTATAATATATAGGTTTTTTGAAATCAGAATTAAAGTAATTTTCGATTAATATATTTAAACTAACTTTGTCGTAGACGGGAATAATTTTGCAGTAATTAAATATCATCTGATAGTCATTTTTATACTGTTTTCTAATTTTAGCTGGGACAATGCATTTAAGAATCCTAAAATTGTGTAAACGCTGTTCTATACATAATTCGTTTAAAAGACATAGTTTAAAAATAAATAATATTGATCTGTAAAAAATAGTCGTTGGTATACATAGAAATAACTTCCAAATAAGTTGTAAAATATAAAAAATCTACAATATATTTTAAGGGGTTTATCACCAAAATACGAATAATAAAATTTTCTCGATAGAACAAATGTAACAAAGTTACCTAGTTATGTACATAAGGAAAGATTATTTTAGAACTAGAACTAGAACAAGATTGGCAAAGGTACAAAAACAAGGCATGTATAATAAAATTATAAATAAACATCCCCTCGGTATAACAAACATGAATGATGACGATTCGAAATTCGAGAGAACGATAAAAACAATTTTTATTTAGCATCTCTTATACTCTTTAAATGAATTTATATCTATGCGTTTGGATGAATATTTATTCCTACATAAAGATGGGTAAGATAGGAAATTGACTAGATCCCTATGGTAGATGACAAGATATAATCATCAATATTTTATGATATAAAATTATATATTACCTATATGTTTGTATAATATAATTTGTGATAATAGGAGTATATTATATTATAGTTTAATTTGTAATGTTGTAATTTAATTGACTGTGATATAATTGATTATTAAGAATTGTATAAATAACCAAATTTGACATTGTTAAAATACTTCATTTATTTGATATTCTTACAATGATTTGACCTGCATAATTTAGACCTATGTATTTAATTTGAAATGCTTATTGTAAAAGATTTGCCGAGTGTAACTTTCTGAGTTATATGGCCAATAAATGATTTGATTTTATTTTGATTTGATTACCCCTAAATGTAAATTATTTTCCATTTCTTTTTGTACGTAATTAATTACACCCCTTTTTAAAGGAAAATGTGAGTCACTTTGTAGCCAAAGGGACTGGCAAAACTTTAACAATAGATCGCTTTTGCCGCGGAATTCGCCATACTATTGACTTTTCGCAATATCTTAAATAATAAGACTATTGAATAGTGTCTGTACTATTGACAAGGGAGGTAGCTGATATCCGATAGTATTGGATCTCAAATAAAATATATATACAAAATAGTTTTTAATAAATAACAGAATATCTGTATTAAGTCTAAGTTTTTTTATTTCATAGTACCAAATACCGTTGATAGTATTCTCTAATACTGACGTTCAAGTTCTACTCTTAATTATATTAAAAATACTTACGTATACCTTTTTTAAGCTCCTTTGTTGGTATCTAAGCGCTGGCCACAGCCTTCTCGAAACTATCATAATATTTATTGTTCGGATCTAGAAGCTTCTTTAGCTCGGCATGCTGCTCGGGCAATTCTCTTTTAAATGCATCGAATGTCCTTCGGGCAAAGCTCTTTTGCGCAGGAGTGCATTTACCACAGCGAGTGATGATTATTTCGGGTAACGCCACTATAATTAATTATACACAGGTTAACATTTTTGTTACAATATACAAACATTTTTAACATTTAACAAATTAAAATTATACACAGTTTACATCATACATTACGCATATTTAGATAAAACACTTACTATTATTACTATTTTAAAACATATTCATTTAAGATACTTTACATATTATAAATTTATAATTGTTATAATTCAAACATTTTTTTCGAATGAAAAAGGCATTCTTTATGAATATCAGGAAGGCCTGTGTAGAGTGCGAAATTGATCTATAATAATATTATAAACTAGTATAGTTTGTAACTTTGTTTGTTTATTTATAATCTTCAGATATACTGATGTGATCACAAAAAATCTTTCATCTACAGGTAGCTAAATCAAATAAACTATAATTATATTTCTTCGATTACTATGAAAATATAATAATTTTAAAGAAAAGTTAACTTATTTTATTTCGTTTAAACAGTAGTACAATTGAATTGGCACCAGTTATAAATCAATCAATTATAAACTATTTAAAGTAAATAATATCCAAGTTACAAATTAAAACTTACATTTAAAAACCCTGCCGATCGGCGTACAAGGGCCTTGATCCAAAAAACAATCCATATATTTCCTCAACAGCCTCGGGTTTTGTACCAACGTTTCGATGTCAAAAAGATCATATTTGCGGTCGTATTGTTTTTCCTGTGTCGCGATTGTCGGAATAGTCAACAAAACACAACAGAACAGAATGACGTATCTCATTTTTTATCATGTACAAGCTGTCATATTTTCTTTGAAAAAAAAGTTTATATTAAAATTGATATATTCGGCAGTCTAGAAAAATTCCTTTTGCTGTACAAGTAAAGAGTGAGGAACAAAATTCAAATCTTCTATTTAAAACGTACATTAAACCACTTAACCTTCAGATGAGCCCAATGATGAGGAAGGAGGTTTACAAAAAAACTGTACTCTACGAATACGAAATTATTAGTATTGTATGCACGTCTAGCCTCGGATCCGAAGATATATATAAAAAACGATAGTCATCTTTACTTTACATCGAAAAACTTCCGTTGAAAAACATCGGCTGTATAGAAAAAAAACAATGAAAAATCCTGACTGATATATGTTGTCCTTTTTTTATTTTTAACACGTCTTTGAAAATAAGACTAAAACTTTATCCGAAATCTTATAGATGTACAAAACTCTCGGTACAATTATTCGATACACATATGCTTGTTTTTTTTTTTTAAATATATTAATCTCATGTTTGCACTATGTATGCTCATATTTGCACTGTTTTTTTTATCAAATTTAAGTTCGAACATACGATCAAGTAAAAAAATATATGAACGATAATTTTAACCCAATAAAATAAAATCATATTAGTTTCTATGCGTTTTTTTAAACGATTTTACCCCTTATATATTTTATCTTAATTAAACGAATATTATATAAAACATAGGTTTTGTGTAGTGACAAGATGTATCACTTATATAAATTGGATAATCAACTGAATTCTACAGTTACTTGTTATCTTACTGTCAATTTGTCTTTTTACATCTATAATTATTTATCAATTAATTTTTAATCATTCGGTGATCCAAAGACTATGTTTTTAATCAAAATTACTTGGTAGACACAAGATGGCTTTCTTTCTAAATGACACCAACTTCCATGTTTGACCTACAATTACATTAGCATAAATGAACATCTTGGTTCTATTGACTTTTTATGCTGATTACACAAATTACACAATCAAGTTCATGAGGAAGTTAATCTATATCTGTACTAATATTATAAAGAGGTCAAGTTTTTTACTTTGTTTGTTTGTAGTAATCTTCAGAAATACTGATTAGATCATGAAAATTCTTTCAGTTACGAAAACCTACGTCATACGAGCAGCTTAATAATCATTGTCTATCACTCACGCAGAATTAGTAAGAATACAGTTAGTGTTATATATAACTCGCGCAAAGTATTGTGGATTAATTGAAGTATAACTTGGATATTACTACATGTAAATTGAACCCATCTAAAGCTTGGTAAATTCCAACACGAGATAAAATAAAACACAAAGCTATAATTATTTAGCAATATTGTTTTTACATAAAGATCTTCAAATTAAACTTTTTGTTGTATTACTCTTAGATTAATAATGTTACAAAATCTAGAAGTTTTTTTAGGCTAAAAATAATCATTGTTAACAGACGTTAGGTAAGTATATACTAAAACTATTTTTATATTGTTTCATAGTAAATATTGTTTTTGTAAATATAAAATCTGCAAAGAGGAAGTGTAATATACTAGAGTTAGCCTCCAGAATTGCTCATCCGGCTGTACTGATTAATGCAATTTTTACGATTTTGTCTGTTTGGCGTAATTACGGTTATTACCGGTACCATGACAGTAATTTAAAACAGTGGCTAAGTTTGAGTCAGATTTGGCCATGAAGGGTTCCGTTGTACCAGTAGTGCCGTAGTGTAAGTGCCAGCCAGCATGGATTTGCAAGTTATAGAATATTTCTTAATTGGTATTTGATTATTTTTGGTTTTTAAAATAGTCTATAACTTAAAAATTAATTGATTGTAAAAACAACAAAATAAAGTCATTTTCCGATTTCATGACGAATTGTAATTTGATTATTTTTGGTTTTTAAAATATTCTATAACTTATTTTCTTAATTGGTATTTGATTATTTTTGGTTTTTAAAATATTCTATAACTTAAAAAATAATTGATTGTAAAAACAAGCATATAAAGTCATTTTCCGATTTCATGACGAATTGGTATTTGATTATTTTTGGTTTTTAAAATATTCTATAATTTAAAAATTAATTGATTGTAAAAACAACAATATAAAGTCATTTTCCGATTTCATGACGAATATATGAGGGTCCTTTTATCGCCATTCGCCTATTGATTACTAAATATATACCTATACCATTTGAAAGGTATAAATTGAACCATAACAAACGAGTTATATTTTGCATTGATAAAAGTAATTGTAATTTCGAACATCTACAAAAATCTGTGATTTATGGCTATAATAGCTTTCTTGTTTGGTGTTAAGTGTTACAACTTACCCCATGATTGCGGAAAGTTGTAAGGGGTTAGGGGCAAATTGTAACATTGGGAAGAGAAAACCAGTTTTACCTATATTTTATAATGATTTATTTGGCATGAAAAACTTCAGCCATGCTCACACAGGTTTAAATTATTAAGTTTCATTTTTAATGTAATAGAAAAATATTCAAAAAAAAAAAACAAATAACATGTACTCAAACTATTTAGAAATTTTAAACTTACTACCATTTATATAACCTTAATTAAATTTGTAATCAGACTTTTGATTAATTTAGCGAAATAAACCTTAGATATATTTATCAAACTTAGACTTTTATACGATACGTATACGTGAGTGATTTTTGAAAATATCAGTGCACACCGCACCGCAAAATAAAGGAAGTCTATTTTATTAAATAAAAAATAGATTATTGTCTCTGCTTGGGTCGATTCGGTTCCAACTATAGGAAAGGCCCGTGTCTCAATAGTGAGGACATCATAAAAAGGCCTTTATTACAACTTTTTTAACATTAACAAAAAACGTAAGCGCCTATGAATTGTACTCAGAAAATATCTCATGTACATGATATTGCAACATTAAGAGAAGTCACATACTATCAACATTTATTCTAAAAGCAATACTTCGCCTACGTATTGTTGCTCGCTTTATTTCCTCAGTAATTACATTGACGTTACCCACTGCATTAAGTTTATAGAAGAATCCTTCAAAGCAATAGTTATATAAAAATATACAAAAGGCCTAATTGACAAATTCATAATCTTTTTCCGTGACCGTGATAGCGATTTATGGAATTATGTAGCGTTTTAAGTCACAATCACTTTCAGAACGAATAATGATATTAATGATCAAAAAACATTAAAATTATTAACTAAAATAAATATAAGATTTGCGTCTAACACTTTTCCTTAGACAATAAAAAATAACGTCAAATTAATAATATCGTTAATTTAATATATTTAAAAAAAACGTCGCGATCGCAATGGCTGTCACATGTCAAATAATTGTAGCATGAAATCCGTAACTATATTTCAAACATCAATTTGAAAGGAATTGCGATAGATTTTAAAATTAGATAATTAGCTCAAGTTATACTAAAGATGAATGTTTTTTTATTCTGTGTGATTCCACATCAGCCTATTAATGTTCCCTGTACTGAATCACAAGCTATCCCTATGGATGGAATTAGGGGGAACGGACCATAACCCACAATTCGAGCCCAGTGTAAATAAGCAGGAGTTAATTAAGAATGAAAGAAATTCAGACAATAAATTTAGGGCCGCCATAGCCTTTGCAAAAGTTGCTTAACCTTAACCTTAAGCATCGCAGACTGCACTAACCAATGTGCCATTAAGCATCTGAATATGAATATAATAATTTAAATAAAACTATAATAAATAGTACAAAACTGTAAATAATTTAATTTTGAAAAGTTCGCTCAAGCATTTTCGAGGGCGTTATTCAATGCCACCATGTATTTGTTCTCTGGATCGTATTTCTTCTTAAATTCCTCATAGTCCTGCGGTGTCTTTTCTTGGATACCGTTCAGGTAAAGCTTCATTTGGTTCTTCTGAGCAGCACTGCATTTGGCACATGCCTCTTGTATAGCTTCACCTAAATCCTCTGAAAGAAAAAATAAAATGAGAAACCAATTAAATTCTGAATTAGTGTCGTGGGACAAGTGTACGCACGATTGGTCTTATCATAAAATGAGGACGAACTTTAGTACCAGGGGTCTTCCACCAGAGTGTCACGCGACCTTCTGAATGCTTCAGATACACTCTACACTTTATATAATGGTCTCTCTATTACTTACAAATTTATATATTTTAAATCAACAGGCTACTCTGTAATTCGCTTTTTGATCCATTTCTATGCATTCTATGCAATTAACTTTGGGTTTTAGTATAAAGATAAAATGATAATTCCACTACACACCCTCTCTCACACACTTACTCACGTCCACTTTTTACACACCGAGAGGTACTCAAACTATTTTGATATTAACTTTTATTAATACTATTTGATTAATATTTATTAATTGATAATTTATATTTATTGAAACAAAAATGGATTAATTATGGATTTAAATGTTTATTACTATCAAATGTTGTATACTTTTACTAAGACCGTAAAATGAGGGAGTGAGCACTGGAGCCTGAAATTCAGGTTTAGAATATAAACCTCATTCAGGCACAGAAGCTACTCAATTGTAACATTGAGTTCCTATGTAATTTTTTTTTAAATAAATATTATTTTTATTATTATTATAATGATGTAATAAAAAAAAACATCGGTTCTATGCACATATTTAAGAGGGCGTTAAGCCAAAAGACTGTCCCTATCTACACATATGTCTATAACTATTCTTATCTGAATATTCGTCCTAAAATAGCCACATATATATCATGTTTGATAAGAAGATAAAAAAATATCTTACTCTTAAAAGCGGTAGAAATATCATTACAGGGATTCTTCTCCAGAAAACATCCAGTAAATTGACGCAGCTTTTCTACATCAGCAACCAAAGCTGCCACATCGAAGTCGTCGTTCTTCGTGTCATATTTCTCCACTGCTGCCACAACCGCCAGAGATACGGCTAATAGGAATACAAACTTCATATTGATCAAAAGAAGTTATCTGAAACAAAACTATAAGATGAGTTATCTACACTAATATAATAAAAAGGAAATATTTGATCGTGTGTTCGTTTATTTGCATTGAATAAGCCGAAACTACTGGACCTATTTTAAAAATTATTTCACCAACGGAAAGCTACATCATATGCAGGTGATGTAGGATATAATTTTCAACGTGCGAACAACACTATGATAAAATACATTCACATATGCTATGGGTCATTTCTAGAGATAAGTATTCTGGAAAAAGTCGTAGATATTGTTAACTAATTGTTTTGCCGCGAGTTTGACCGCGTAAATTTTGTCATCCGTGTATATGTAGTTTCCCGTATCGGATCAGTATTTCCAAACTATACCCCTACAATAAATACACTTTATTTATTACTCTTTCTGGGTTCAGTGTTTAGAAACAAGTTTAATCCCTTTAATGTTTTACACAATAGATTTCTTTCTGCGTTAGTATACGTGGCTGTCAGGTTACCACACAAAAAATGTCAAATTTCTGCAGTCGATTTCAAGCTCTACCCAGAAAATATTAAGGTTCAAAATCAAGTGGAGAAATTTGATATATTTAAATAGTATATGACATGCTATTATAATAATAAGCCACTCTACTAGACCTATATTAAAAATTATTTCACCAACGGAAAGCTACATCATATGCAGGTGATGTAGGATATAATTTTCAACGTGCGAACAACACTATGATAAAATACATTCACCTATGCTATGGGTCATTTCTAGAGATAAGTATTCTGGAAAAAGTCGTAGATATTGTTAACTAATTGTTTTGCTGCGAGTTTGACCGCGTAAATTTTGTCATCCGTGTAGTTTGCCGTATCGGATCAGTATTTCCAAAGAATACCCCTACAATAAATACACTTTATTTATATTATTACTCTTTCTGGGTTCAGTGTTTAGAAACAAGTTTAATCCCTTTAATGTTTTACACAATTGATTTCTTTCTGCGTTAGTATACGTGGCTGTCAGGTTACCACATAAAAAATGACAAATTTCTCCAGTCGATTTCAAGCTCTACCCAGAAAACATTAAGGTTCAAAATCAAGTGGAGAAATTTGATATATTTGTATAGTATATGACATGATATTATTACTGTACATGAAAATTAGATAACTGTCGCCAAACAAACTAATATGAGGTAATATTGGTAATATAAATTAAAAATATCTTAGGAATACGATCTTACGACGAGAAGTAAAAAACAGTTTCCTAACACAGATCTGACCGACCGACTATACCCAAATACTGTATTTACTATGTAAAGTAAACGCTAGGTATCTAGTATCCAGTAATACGAGTATTAGCCAAGGTGAAACGAGTTATAAAAAAAACTGTGGTGAATTTTATCTGTTCTGTGCATTTATATAGACACGAGTTTTTATTAATATTGATATGATAAGTTTTCATATTAAAATTGTTGCATAAGCTAGCACGTTATTAGGATATTTTAGATAATTACACGTAGACTTATCTTATTTCAATCTAAGGCACGTCTAAGCTTTAAGAGGCGTCCTAGGATCACGACCGCTGTCATTTTGGTATTTGTTAAAATAATGGATAGGTAATAATAAGTTATTCATTAGCGCTTAAATAAATTAAAAAATATCTAACATCTTATTAATAGTATCTTGCTATCGTTTTAAATCGGTCTTTTTGATCAACTGTTGCCGGTATATTTTTATTCGAATTATATTTAATTATTTGATAGTCCAAAACCATTACTTTTCATAATTTTGTAACAAAATAAACAAACTGTGTATTTATACTCTGATTTTTTGTCTAAACATCGTAAGTTTGATGTTTGATCTCCATCCACACCAGCGCAGCCTAGCGGAAGCAATATCAGATATCGCTACCATTCTCGTATAAAGTGATGCGATTTATATAGGTGTAAAGGCGGTTTCGTCGTGTGATACCGCGTGACCGCACCATACGTTGTCATATTCGGACTTACTATAACAGGCCAATGAGGGCCAACATGTTTGAATTCATCACGAGCGGCGCCAGTGTAGAGTGAGGTCTTCAAAATGTCAAATATCATGCTTTGTCAGTTCGCTCGCTGTGAATTTCAAATAAATGAATTTGGCTTTTCTTTTGGGGTACATGGGATTCATTCAAGCTAAGAATTACGGATCAATGAATGTCAGTACTTGAAAAATGGAGCTTAGAAAAAGAGGTGTAAAATTGAACGGGTTAAAAGAATAGTTAATTTAGAGGTTAGTGATTATTGAGCATGCTCTATGTATTTAATAGATTGGTTTATTTGTGTATGATTTAAGTTCAGGTTAGGAGATAATAAAACTTTGATAGGACCTCTCGTATCTGTCACTCCATTTAGTAAGCAAAAAAACGGTAGCCATCATTGGTAATGAAACCCTCAGCTTTTTAGCTTTAATGATTTTCATCAGAAAGTTATCTTAACTTTAATTACCTACAATTTTTTTCCTACCTATTACTTTGCAGGGGAAAAGAAATTTCTTATTTTTAATATTTTTCTATTTTTTCCCAATGCAAGAATCCTTAGAGTAATGATTCAATTGTTCCAGCCGTTTGCAAGCTTTACTCTTGGCAATACTTAAAAGAACAAAATTTTTATTTACAGAAACTCCACTTTTACTCAATTTCAGATATGAATAGAAAGTGTATCCTTAGTTCACCTGAATTTTGTAAAGAGAATCTACGTCACCTGTTCTGAATTATAGAACACAAACCATCCAAAAGAATGGATTTTTTTTATTGTAGCTTCCAAAACACATAGGAGCTTAAGATAATAATATTTTGGTCACCCATCCTATGACCAGCCCTTGCGAAAGTTGCTTAAAATTTGAGTCGCCGACTAACTGAACGAAATAGCCACTGCACCTTCAAGCTTATCTAAAAACAATGTTATTAATTTAAAAATATATAAAAACACTTACAATTCCTTTTGTGTTGAGATCCTATCGTAAACTGCAGTATTCAAACGTCGACACCGACTTTTATACTCCAATACTTTTATAATACCGATAAATCCGTCTTCATATATCGATGTTTTCATTAAAATTTATAAACAAAATTATTTACTTTTTGCGATAAGAATATGCAAAATTGTCTTGTTGGCACGTGGTTTTATTATTACAGCAGAACTATAAGAACATGCGAAATAGTTTGGGCAAAATAAAACTTGCATTGTAAAAAGATATATAATGAATTTGATATTTACTCATTGCGATTAAACAAAATTATCAATTATTTAGTCTTGGTTGACCTCAATTCGTAATATTCATATTTACACAATCCATTAAGTAGTTGACACATTTCGAACCGTATGGCTTAAATCAACATTAAATAATTCGTGAAACCAACACCAATATCAAAGACAACGATATCTTCATTAATATTATCTATTTACGAAGATGTTCGTGTTTCCTCTTCCAAATAATAATTATTTTGTCTAAAACAGGCCTGTCCAACATATGGCCCGCATAGGCCCTTCATCCGGCCAGTCATCTCATTGAATCTTTCAGAATTAATTACCTGGCACTTACATCAAAATTAGGACCGCAACTATGCCTGAAATTGAGTAAAAATATCTAGTACAGTAGAGAACATTCTTGAAGTTTAAAGAATGACCTAGTATGTAGTTAGAAGAGCTCTCATTTTCACTATATAAGCGCCAGTTTGTTAGGAATCGCAAGTCAGTTATAAGACAACGATCGGAACGATACATAAAGAGGAATGTATCGCTTGTATCACTCGAAGAAAGTGAATCTGTGAAATATTTTGCGTTAACTTAGCTTATGAATCAGTCGTGTTTTTAATTAACAAACCTCTTTTTACTTATAGTCTTTATTTTATAGTCTTTGGTACTTAGATGAAGTTTTTTGCATTGAAATATAGAAAAGATAAGCAAATATTTCAATTCTCCGAAAATTTAATTATCTTTAATTATGATGTTTTTCTTTATTTTGTTAGTTTTAGCCAGTTATAGTCCCATGAAAATCGGTCCAGCCGTTTTAGAGAATAGCCGAAATAAACAGACAGACAAAAAATTTATTGTTGAATACATATGTATTTAGTGATAAGCGCTTATTTTAATATTACAAACTGATACTCCATTTTTTTTATTTTTATATATGAAACCGTGATATTTTACTATATTAGATAACTTGGCAATAGATGCCGATATTGTACTAGTTTTCTGATATATTTTTTTTCTTTCATAGTTGTTTATTTTAGACTTCATTCTTCTAAGTCAATCATCTAAGCCCACTTTATACCATAGTGGTATAGGCCTCCTTCAGTCATCTCCATTGTGATCTGTTTTGGGCAACCCAGATCCAGTCTGTACCCACCAGCCTTATCACATCGTCCTCCCATCGCATTTATGGTTTTCCGACGGGTCTCTTTCGACCCCATGGTCTCCATTCCAGGACCTTTCTGCACCATGCTTCCTGCTTCCTGGCTACATGTCCAGCCCATTGCCATTTCAACTCTGCTACGTGACATCCGAGACCTGACTGCGTTTGCGTAGCCACTTATTTGTTTTTCTATCTCGGAGTGTCACCCCTACCAGTCGCCTCTCTATTGCTCTATGGGCTACTTCCAGCTTGTGAATAATGGCCTTAGTTGTTAACCATGTCTCAGCTCCATAGGTAAGCACTGGCAGGACGCATCGGTTGAAGATTCGTGCTTTTTGTCTTTGGCTGATATTCATTTCAAATGCAAAGCTGAGTTTTGAAAATGCTCCTCAGCCTATGTCCCCAACTTTTATGCTTTTACTTTTATTGGTCTGAGTAGTTATTGTCTTGGTATTGTCCAAGTTCATTTCAAGTCCAACCCTTCGTGAAGCACTATGAAGATCTTGCACCATCCTTGAAGTTATTGTGAATAGTTGGCGAACAGAAGTATGTCATCAGCAAACCTTAAGTTGTTCAGTCTTGTACCGGATATATTTAATCCTTTGTCTTCCCAGTTGTCTCTCAAAGACGTCTTCGAGAACCAGTGTGCACAGTTTAGGTGAGATTGTGTCCCCCTGTTAGACACCCCTGTTGATCTTTACAGGCTTTGTATGTCGGTGTATCGCTATCTTTAGCATCACGTTCTTGTAGATACTGACTATGAGGTCATTGTATATGTGGTCTATCCGAGCATTACGCAAGGACTGCTGGACAGCCCAATTTTCCACGCTGTCAAAATCTTTTTTATAATATACGAATGCTAGCCACAGGGGTTTCTGATAATCCGTACTTTTTTCAACTACTACTCTCATAGTCAGTATGTGAGCCATTGTACAGTAGACACTCCTGAATCCTGTAGACACTCTTGAATCCTGCTTGCTCTTTCGGTTGGTAGAAGTCTAGTTTGGTCGTCAGCGATTTGTCATGACCTTAGAGAAAATCTTGTATATTTGTGATAACAGACTAATCGGTCTGTAGTTGTTTAAATCTGCCTTACAGCCTTTCTGTACAGTAAAACAATGGCTGCATTTTGTCAGTTCTTCGGAAATGTTTGATAATTTATTGAAAAGTACAACAAGATTATTCAATAGAGTGTCACTTCCATCTTTCAGCGTTTCTGGCAGTACCCCGTCTTTTCCTCCAGCCTTACCACCTTTTACTTTGTATGAAGAGCATGTCATTTCCTTTCGTGTTATATCTGAGATGTCTACAGATCCTACATTTAGAATTCTAGGTTGGCAGTGTCAGGCTGATCCGCTCCACGTGAGTACAGCCTGCCATAGTACTCTTCCACAACCTGAAGCAATTAATTTCGATCCAAGACGACGTTACCTTCCCTGCCTTTCAATATTGTTATTTGCTGGCAGCCTTGTTTAAGGGTTTTGAGAATACTTGAAGATTTAGGGTTTTGGACTTAAAACATATTATTGTTAGGTTTTTATAAATGAAATTAGCGTTTTTTATACCAATTATCTGGAGTTACGTTCGTAAATCCAAATCCAAAATATAAAAATCATGAATATTTATTCCAGCGCCGCACTTGCGATCACAATATATCTAAGAGTTCTTACTTAACAAACTAAATGTGCAATATTTTTATAAATTACTACGTCGAGTCCACTTTTAGTAAAAAATACCACAGAAATAGCTATGCACGTGGACATACGAGTACACTGATAAAGATTCGCTTACTTTTAAAGGCGCCATTAATTTTATTACACGGGCCCTTGGCCAGATAACACGCAGTAAATTCAGCTTGCCTTTTTTCATCGGTTACCAATGCTGCCGCATCGAAGTCTACTGCTTACACTGTCGTCAGTGCCACAACCAACACAAACAAAAAAATACTATACAAATATAAAGATGAATAATACATATAGTCCCACATACATATATTATACATACATAAACACATAATACACATGACACAAATGACATTTAGTCTTAGCTGTCCAAGTACTGCCATCTTCGAATTTTAAAAAGACCCATCGGACTTAACAACTTTTGCTAAGACCTCAGTCCTGTATTATGTTATAGCGTAAGTGGTCTCCTAGAGTTCCACATCACATGTTTCAGATCTTCGATTTTTATAAGTCAATAGAAAATGCTCATTATTTTAGAAAACTTCTATTAAGATATCGTTTCCTTATATTTTATAAGTGCAACGGACTCTTAGAGTTCCACATCACATCTTTCAATCTTCGAATTTTAATCACACAGCAAAATATACTTATCTTTTGGAACAATTTTTGCTATGGCACCTCTTACTGTTGCGTGGATGCTTATTGTCTGTCATTTCCTTTCGATTCCTTTCGTGTTATGGATTGTGTTCGTGTTGTGGATGCTTAGGTATCCATATGATAGATACCAGCCACCAAAATTAATTAAAGCCTAGACGGTTACCAGGATTAATAGCTTCGTAATAAAAAAAATATTAAAATCCATTCAGTAGTTTCAAAGATTAGTACATACATACAAACAGACAGGAACAAAAAATAATTAATAAACCCGCCTGTCGTAGGCATGAAATTGATTTGATAATGAGTCAAAACAATTTCTGTTTGTGCATGCCTACGACTGCATTTTATGTACACTTAAGCATCACGTTATGCATGATGTTGCATTTTTTTATCTTGTGCCAGACTTCTCCGTTAGTTGATTTTCACGCGAGTTTTTGTTTTTTTAATAATCATTCTATTTATGTCTTTTTAGATGTAATAATGAATACATCCATACAAAATACGCGCGAAACACATAACCCTACCTTTGCAGTCGGGTAAAAATCATTGAGCTGTATTCTATTGGTATTTTAGTATTGCCTGTTGGTAAATCAATTTAAAGAAAATATAGTTAATGTACAGTAAACACTATTGTTACTATTTTATTATAGTATAGTTTATATAAAAAAAATGAATTACACTTTTCCATCGACATTGGTGTTTTAATTGTCTCTTAAAATACAGGAAAACAGCTAATTTGATAGAAATTTGATCACAATTTAGGAAGAAATGGAATAACATACTTACTTTCATTTAAAAAAATATACATACTCCTTGAACATAGAAAATTCACCTTTCGGATATTTAATGAATTCGAAACATCTTTTGTTTATTAGCGGGAAACGGCCATGTCTTACCATATCGACTAAATATTTGAGTGATATTTGGTGAAAAGCGTATTTTGTTTTGTCATAAAAGGAAAACTACAGATTGGATTTCGATAAAACATAAATGGGACCACCTCGGTCCATTAAACTGTCGAGTAATAGTCAACAATTGGTGGAAATATCGGGGAACACACATAAAAAAATATGTATCGCTGTCGAACAAATAAGCTCCTCCTTATGAATTTTGAAATCGGTTAAAACCACTTGCACTATTAACTTTTGACATTGTCTTACACAGTTACCGCTATTATAGTCGATATAATCCATTTATTGGCTATTTAATTAATTGTCCGGCATTAATAATAATTAATAACCCTTCATAGACTCAATTCAGAAGTAAACTATTTTTTGTTAATGCATATGCACACTGATATGCTTTTTTCTTGTAATAACTTATTTCATATCGATTAGGATGATATGAATGTGTATATTATTGCATAATAGATGCCTATATTAAATATTCATAGTAAAATATAGAAATAAAGACTATGCAATTATAATGTTTTAGTTCTACAATCTCCAATTTTCATTCGCACTTCGGCTTATAAATTTCTTAATAATTAACGGCCAGTTAGTGATATATAATAGATTTCAGATTTTATTTAAGAACATTTTTACATTACTTTTTTATTATAACCAGTGGTCGGAATTAGGTAGAGTTATTCATGTACTTACACTGATTTCATACAGCGAAAGAATAAAGTGGATATGCCTCAAATCCCGAGATTAATTTTAAAGAGCAGAAAAAACCCGTGATTTTTTAAATATAAAGTTATTTACTTTTACACAATTTAAACTATTGCACGCACGACGTTGCCAAACTTACATCAATGAAAGAAAGAAATAAAGAAAGAAGAAATAAAGAAATCCCGGGAAGGTCCACATTAATATCAACATTTCGATGCAAGTACATAAATAACTCTACCTAATTCCGACCTCTGATTATAACACAATGACTTATCCAAAAAGTTTACCCCCAAATAACTCCTTGCGATAGCTGCAAATTAACTGATAAAATCTCGATACGAATCGAGATCAGAACCTCTGACAAATATAATTCCATATGTAAATATTTCTGTAATAGATAAAAATCATTAGCATCCCACGGTCTCCAGCAGAGGAGCCGCTTGCACCTATATTTCGCATTAGCTTTTCGCCAGCGGCTTCACTCGCGTAGAATTCCCATTTTTATAACATTTTCATCGCTGCTTCATTTCTACTAGTCATAATAGCCTATAGCAGCAAGAGCGGGTCTTTATATATTTTATCATAATATAAATTTCATTTAAATACTTTTTTCTTTATTTAATAAATTAAAAAAGAAAGGGCTGATGATAATTAATATTTTTCTTTAGATAATGCAATTTTCATTATGCTGTATTAATTAAATTGAAAATAAAGAAACATATTATATTATTATCGTTTAAAAAATATAAACATTTAGAAATTGCAAACAGTTGAATGTCGAGTAGTTCACATCAAATAGCCATTTAAGCACTATCGAGGACCTTATATAATGCTTCCATGTATTTATTTTCGGGGTCGTACTTCCTTTTAAATTCATCATATTCCTGTGGCAGCTTCACTCGAATACCGTCCAAATACACTTTCGTCATCTTCTTCTGCTTAGCGCTGCATTTTGCACATGCCTCTCTAATAACTTCTGACGCAATGTCTGTAAGGCAAATTAAAATATTATAAAGAGAAACCACCAAAAAATAAATTTATTTCGAGAAAAATATTACAGTTTTAATCAGCTGGCTATTAGATGGCGCTAATTAATTCAATATCTACTCTATATCAATTTCAAAGCGATATATTTTGAACTTTAATATCTAAGTTTGGTTCGTGATTCCAAATTAAAATTTTTAATAATATGAATCTTTATGCGGACTCCACTGGCAAATAAGTTCTGCAACTTCCAGAAGCCAACTGACGAGATGGCCACAGAGTACAATTATGTGGGTCTTGCAGCATGTTCAACAAGACACCAAAACTTGTACAACTCCACTCGTGTAAGCGTTTACACGTTGGAAGTGCTTTGCGCAAGTCAACTTCTGCAAGTTTTATTGTTAGTGAATACTTTTCTTAAGCTTCATTTGTACATCTAAGTATAGTTTAAAAAAAATCTAGTCTAATATACTTATTTACCAGGAAATATTTACCAGAATAGCATTGTGAATACAAAAACAAATACTATTTAACCAAATTCCCGCAGAAATAAAGGTGGTCATACAAGTGAATTGATAAAGATTCGCTTACTTTTGAAGGCGCTAGAAATTTCATTACACGGGCCCTTGTCCAGATAACACGCAGTAAATTCGGCTAGCCTTTTTTCATCGTTTACCAACGCTACCGCATCGAAGTTCTCATGCCCCGTCACATATTCTTCTACTGCAAACACTGCCACCAGTGACACAGTCAACACAAACAAAAACTTCATCTTGTTCTACTAAAACAAAATCGAAAGATTTTATTACAAGTGCACAGTCGATTGGACAGAATTTTATTTTGCAAAACAAATCATACATTGAAATCGCAGTAAATAAATATTAATTTACTTCGATATATTCAGCATAGAAAAGCATGAAAATATATTAAAATTCTGTCGTCTAGTTTATATAAGCGTCACAGGGTAGCGAAAGGGAGAGAAAGAGTTTTCTTTCTAAGGCACATATTTTTTTTATAAGAAATCTGTAGATATACAAAACGTTTTGTTTAACATAATCTATTCTTGGGCCATAATCATGATCTATTTTTAAATATAGTTATCTAGAGCAAAATTTAATAAAGTCAACATTATATTTTCAATTAAATTATATTTTAAATAATAGAGGTATATATCAGACTTTATTTACAATTGATTTTATGTTGAGATCCTATCCTGGAATATAGTATTGAACCATCACACTGTCTTTTATATACATTATCTATATATATAAAAATGAATCGCAAAATGTGTTGGTAAGCGCATAACTCAACAACGCCTCGACCAATTTGGCCAAATCTTTTTTTAAAATGTTCGTTGAAGTTCAAGGATGGTTTTTACGGCGAGAAAAATTAGAATTATTGCTGGAAAACCCTAAAAATAGCCCTTTTCTTTTTCCCATACAAATGATTTGTAACTAAAACGTAGTCAATTTGAGCTTTATTGCTATGGTATAAAGTTCATATTAAATTACAAGCACTCACTGTTGTCTAAGCAATGTAGGTGTGTTCCTAACGTCAAAGATCATATCTATCACAAAACAATGTGCGTGTGTGCGTTGGAGCACAGAATACATAGTTGGAGGAGTTTAATGTCGCGTTCCGAAACTCGCGTTTCTTTTGTATTAGTTTCGGCACGCGAGATAAAATGCATCAGTTTCCACGTCATTACATGTATTGCCGGAACATTGATGAAAATACGCTCTGTAGTAGCAAAGCTGTTGGGTCCTAGATAGCTCATTGGTTAGAGCAGTCCCTGGATCGCGAATGGGTTCGAGTCCCATTCCGGGGTACAGGTAGATGGATTCTTCCAGCATTTTTCCTTGAGAATGTTTATATATTTTTTTAATTCGAATAGTTTACTTTTATAATGCTGTTGTGTGTAATGTGTTTTTATGATCATAAAAATCTCTTTTTTCTATATTTAATACTATTACTATTAATACATTGCAATAATAATTATGATTCACATGATTAACAATAAAGCGATTACTTACTTTTAAATCCTTATATATGTTTTATTTAATTATTTTTTATTCACAACGCCCTATCACCAGGGTGACGGTTCTGTTCAGGAGAATTTTTTTAAATACGTAGGCAAAAAAACTGCCACATTACAAATCTTTTTGACAGGACGAAGTCTGTCGGGTCAGCTAGTTAGTTATAATAATGATAATAATATTATCATATATTACTATATTATAGTCTCGAAACACACACATCAATATTCTTTTTGCGATAACAAGAATTGTATTGTTTGTATCACACACTTATTAGGGTATCCGTACAAATTTATTCGTATCATAGCATTCAGATACTTTACTTACTACTATTAATTCCTTACATGCGAAATTAGTTTTTTTTTGGCAGTATAATTTCATCCCAGTTTATATTCCTTAAAAAATATTTCAAAGGAGATTAACCAAATATGTCAGAGTGTACATTTCTCATTACAGGCAATATATCTCACCCAATTTCACTTTACTTCCTTTGCTTTTGAAATGGTTTGTTTTTTTTGCGGTCCATTACTATCACTTCTAGAATCTTCCTCTCTTCCGCCCTCTGGACTAATGCCAGTCTATTGTCAGGTATTATGGCTTTACCGCCGTTGGATTCGGACAGCACAAGTCTGATTGTCTTGGCGATCTATGGGGCATTGTACAGATTTTTTTCATTTTGAAAGTAAAATGAAGTTGCAAGTAGGCTTCTCACATAAACGCACTCGTATTTAATGTTGATGCCGTATCATTTTCAATAAAAAACTTGATATGTTTCTCCAACGTAACGTTGCAAAATTTGATAAACGTTTTATTCCTCTTGCCTCACTGCAATTGACTGGGATTTCAATTCTTGTTCTGTGATCAAATGAACATAATGAATATAGACTCTAGCACGTCAATATACTTGTAGTTTGAAATTTGGAATGAATAGAATCGAAGGCTTTCTCGTAGTTCATGAACGTCACGGAAAGTCACCGGTTATAAAAACTTCAACTTCGCATTGAAAATACACTTTGTGCCACATATTGATAAGTTATTGAAAAGGCTTGCCTCTGCACTATATGCCGTAATGAGGATATGTACTGTTTGTCCAAGTTTTTGTTCAGCAATTTGGTTATATGAACGACTATACGTTCGAGTACTTTATAGACTCCCCTACTTTCAAAGGCGCAAGAAATTTCATTACGCGGGCCCTTGTCCAGGTAGCATGCAACAAATAGGGCTAGCTTTTCATCATCAGCTACCATTCCTGCCATATCGAAGCTATCATGCCCCGTAACATATTCTTCTACTGCAGCCACTGCCAGCAATAATACAGCCAACACAAACAAAAACTTTTATCTTGGTCAACAGAAACTAACTGAAAACAAAATCGACAGCGGGTCGTATAACTCTTTCTTTGAAATTAGAATGTAAAATGCCAGAATGAAAACTATACATTTGTTAACAGTTGTACGAATTTATTTATCCAAATGCCCTTGATCAAATTGGAAAATTCTTTCTATTTATTTGTGATTGAATCGTTCTTAGAATATACTATAATGTCTAAGGTGTTGATGTTTTATCTACAAGGCAATTACTTTGTGGCAAATGAAATGAAACTGTCACAACACAACGCACAAGATAAGTAAAGAAGAAAGTTCGCAAGTAATTACCTACGATTATTTTAAAGTATCTTAGCTATAGATATACAGTGACACATACAGTGGCCGACTAACCCCATCGGAGGCCCGGGGCGACTTCACTTCACTTCATAAGGCAGTACAACCGCAATTTATAATATGATCAAGAAAACTTGCAACCATTTGGAGGCCCCCAGGACAAGACGCCCGAGATGGAACTCTCCCCCCCCCCCTTTAGTTCGTCACTAGACACATTTAATAATTAAATCACATGAAAAAATAACATCGTTAAGAGAAAAAAATACGGTAGTAGAATTTTCTGTACATAACATTAACACTAAAGTGGTACGATTAAAATTATCAAAACTATGTCGACGATTTTACAGTATTTGCCAAACAATTTTTGGATTTTCCATTACCCGTATGATGCTTAATGGTATATGCTAACAACTTAGTTAGACGTATCTTCGACAAAGTAATGCCGGATTTATACTTAGAGTCGCAAGTGGCACATGCGCAGGGTTCCGCACAAATATTAAGTGTCTAAATCCATAAATTTATGAACCGATGGCATAGAGTTTCGGCTTTCACAAGAGCTCGTAACAGCCTAAATTGAGTAACCCTCAGTTTCAATATTTTACCATTAACCATCACTATTATACTGCCGATCGTTTTTGAGCTACCGACAACCATTAAATTTGCGTTTCACATTCATCGGTCGGCGACCATAGAGTAAGTAAGCGATTACCTAATTTTTACAAAAACAATATATTTTTTGCAATCAAGGTATTTTTCTATTTATTAAAATAGTGAAGATTTTATTAATAACCCATTGACATGTCGTACAATTTTTTTTTTTGAAAATATTTTTTTATTTCGTATTCACCCAAACTATACTACAACTTTAAGCACAATAGGTGATCGAAGAAAGTCAAATGTAACATATATATGTAGATGAACGTACGGACAACCGACTCATTCTATAAAGTTACATTTGCCTTATTTAAAGCTACAAAATTAACCTGGAGTCATATTTAGGAAGTCATTCAGTAGACCCATTGGTTCCTGAATATTATAATAATACCTAATCTAATAAGACTTCACTAAAAACATTTTTTTGCTACTTCACCTTCAATCAGTGTAAACATTAACACAACTCGTTACAAAAATGGATAAGATTATAATCTACGTGTGAATTTTAATATTATTATTACGAGGATCTACTCGGTTACCGTAAAGAAGCGATATTTGTCGATGACGAACCGAGTTAATCTAACAAGTCATTTATTATTCATTAGTTAGTTAATTTAATGTAGCCCCTGCACATTTTGTGAGAATCTCCAATGACACAAAAACCATCATTCACCAAAATGTGTCACATAATATACATGGAAGTTATTTAAAAACAAAAAGCTATGAACAGTATATTTCTATTCGTGGGAGAGCCACGCTTCGGCGTGAATGGGCCGGCTCGACCGGAGTGATACCACGGCCTCACAGAAAACCGACGTGAAGCAACGCTTGCGTTGTGTTTCGTCGTGTGAGTGAGGGTACCGGAGGCCCAACCCCTCCCTATTCCCTTCCCTCTACCCCTCAACCCTTCCCTCCCTATGATCATATTCGTCCCTCAAAGGCCGGCAGCGCGCTTGTAGCCCCGCTGGTGTTGCAGGTGTCCATGGGCGACGGTAATCACTTACCATCAGGTGATCCGTCGGCTCGTCTGCCCCCTATCCCTTAAAAAAGAAAAAGTGTCATTATTATAATCCCTAACATGATTCACGACCGAAAAAATCATCAATTTTTAGGACTCTTTAAGGGAGAAATTTAAGGAAATAGACATAATGGCTGTTCTACATACTAACACATATACGAGAACTTAATGTACGTTCGTAAAAATATTAGTTTGTTATATATAAAAAGTGATGTATACAATTTTAATACAAGAAATAAAAATAACTTAACGATGACTGTCACTAGACTGCAAAAAGTTAATAACTCATGCAGGGATCTTTATGTGCGCTTCTACAATAGGGTTCCAAGCAAAATACAACAATTAGATATCATGCAGTTTAAATCTACTATTAAAAAAATACTTATTAAAAAATCTTATTATAAGGTATCTGATTATATAACAGATAAGAATGCTTGGACTTTAGATGATCCAGCAGCTGGATAGGTGATACTTCTAAACTCATTATATATCAAAAAATATCTTGTTTCCATTATTATTAAATGAATATGTTATCATTATAAGACCATAGTTTTTTCTCTCTATGTTTATTATGTATTGATCTGGTAATATAATCTGTAAATATGCTTCTTATCAGCCAAACGACGTCCTGAACGGCAGGGAAAAAAATTTGGAGGATACAAAAGTACTTTTAAAAAGTTTATTTGAATAAAGATTTTTTTGACTTTGACTTGTAACTTCACCACTATCTATACTCTATCAATTTAATAATAAAGATTATTAAATTAATTGAGTATTTGAATTAATGTCTAAAAATACAGATAAAAATTATTTTATCTATCTCCGACACTGTTTACAAAAAAATAAAAAAGCAAATGTTTACCAATGTGTAAGGTAATTAATTAATATAACTATTGCTTAATTGATAATGAAACAATTATATGGCACTAGGATATCATTAAGGTTTTTATTAATGGTTTATTAATAAATTTATAAACATTATTAATTCAGTCTCCAAACATATAAATCAATATTCTTTCTGCGATAAAAAAAATTGTCTTGTTTGCATGTATTTGGTTATTATTACAACAGAGTTATTAGGGCACCTATGAAAAATGCATTCAGTTGAACCACATCTTGTTTTTGGACTTTTTTATTTATAAATGAGTTAATTCTATTTATGCACACATGCAGGCGCACGTCATACTATCACAATATGCCTAGTTTCCTCAATTGATTCTCATACAGTTTAAAATCAAGTGGAGAAATAAAACAGTTCTGTATAACCTGACGTGTTGTTGAGTATAAGATTACATACAACTCTATTTCAGATATTGAACTTGTGAGATATTGTATTTAACAATCATATATGCAATGACAAATGCCGCAAGCACTAATGAGCTTAATAGAAAGATTTGCAATGCATACGAGCCCTTTTCTCGATAGTTCAAAACAAATAAAACTTAATGCAGATAAAGCTTTCCTTTTTAATCTACCACTAGGAATTACTTTATAAAAAGTTCTGTAAAAGCAACCACCACGTAAGTGAAACTATGCAGAGATGATAGTGCTGTTACAAAGGCTAAAATAAATAAAAAATAAAGAAATATAAAGCACAGCCGCCGGATTGCGAAAGGTCATGGGTTCGAGTCCCATCTCAGAGTGCCAGGGACAAAGCGGATTTTATAAGCATTTTTCATTCAGTATAAAATCGTAAATGCAAAATTGATCAAAATATAATAATAAATATCTGCTTTTGTTAGTTATGTTTTTACGTTAACTGTTGAGTTATTGTTCAATGCGGTAAATTGAATCTTCGAAAAGGACTTAAATATGTTTTGCTAAAGACTTAAATCCCGAAGGCTAATTAACATTCTACGGCACCAGCGAATATGAAATAATAAACACAAGGTTATAAAACAAAATTTATTTCAATCTACATTGTGATATTTGGTAGTAGAAATTGATTCAATAGCCAATACAAAATCAAAAAAAAATAATAATACTGTAACAATAGTTTTCGTATACAGTTCAAACAAAACCAATAAATTAATATTTACAATACACCAGTGTCGTGAGAAATATATTCTTTATATACACTTTGTTTTATCACAATTATTACTATTTGTACAATCGTACAACGTACAATCGTGTAACGATTTCATGGAAATTTAGGGCCTATTTATTGTAGTTCTTTGGTTTAGTTAGGGCTGTTTAGGAATTTTTCAAAAGCTTCCTTATGCTCGTCATTGGGGTCGTATTTCTTGACCAGTTCTGTCCACATCTCTGGGAGTTTATCCTGGAAACCTCGGATTACGGTCTTGATTAATTGACGCTGTTTTGGGCTACATTTAGCGCACTCTGTCTTCAGTGCATCAGGTATTATATCTGTGAAAAACAATATTTATTTTTAATATAAGATATAACATTAATATTCATATTTTTAATTAATATCACTACAGTATCATTAGTCATGTAAATTTTCCAATTTAGATTTCATAAATAATCCTCTATGCAGAGGTTGCATAGAGATAAGAGAAATTATTGCTCATGTCCTGTTGCAATCTAACTTAATTCGAGTAATCGAGTTGATTCTGGTTATGCACCCTTTACACGCAAAACAAATGCAAAGACATCGTTACCGAGGTATCAGTAAAAGAAGAATATTGTACAAAGATAGATGTGAATTTCACTGATCTTTAGAATAATCAAGTTATCTTTATAATTCGATTTAAAGAAGAACTCTTTAAAAATCACCAGAACCAGGTACGCACACTAGTAGTGAAATAACTAGTGCATGAGAAACTCATCAGTCCTGCTTAATCTCGGGAAGTAATGATTTAAGCGATAACCGTGTTGTGAAGAGTTGTATGTGGGTTTCGAATCCCATATTGGGACTGGTGAATTGCTTAAGCATTTTTTTACAGATAAATATCAATATGGCATTATAAATACAAAATTGATCAATTATCCCTAATGATAATTACCTTTGAAGTCTTTTCCTTCAGATGTGCAAGGGCCGTTTCCGAGGAAACATTTTCCGTAGTTCTTAAGTAGACGCGGGTTCTCCACCAGATCTTGAGCATTGAAATTGTCGTACTGCGTGTCATAGGTCTCAGGGCGTGCCAGCACAACGGCCAACAGAAAACTCAATATCACAACAGTTTTCATTTTCTGGAAAACGAAATAGACATTCCCTGTTACTTAATTCGGAAGTTAATGAATTTAGAAATTCTTAGTACCCATTCTAAATAAGAAAAAGAAAAAGCACGCTTTTCTTATGGAGTGTTTTATGTGTGTGTATGTGTGTTTCAGACTATAAAATACTTTAATACTCTTTATTGCGCAAAAAAAAAAACAAAATTGACTTAATAATATTAGGTAAATCACAAGCAAGGGTGGGCTTATCTCTATAAGAGATCTCTTCCAGCCCACCAGGCGGTGTGGGAGATCAAGCAGTAACGGGAGACTGACAAGTGAATAATTGTAAAATTTAATAATTTTGCCTTATAAATTTGTGAAGTAAATAAAGACTGAAAATGTATACTGAATGAATAAATGTGTATTTTTTTTAGATTTATATTCGTATCCCACTTTAAATAACAATTTGTAAAAAAAAAATTAAATAATGCTATAATGGATCGTGTGGAGATAATATTATTTTGTCATACTAAACTGTATATTTTTTATGATAATAACACAGTAATTTAGCTTATTTTTTAAGAACTTCTACCAAAACAGTGTATCTCCAAATAACACAAATATATTAGTTCAACTACTCCCTGCGATATCTACAAATTAACTAACTGATAATATTTCGACATGACTCGAGGTCAGAACCTCTAACTTTAGCTTCAAATTTTATAGTAAATACTTCATTAATTGACATAAAACATTAGCATATAGTAACCAAGTAAAATAAATCCCAAGGTTTTGATGATCTTCGGACAATAGGTGCTAAATCTAGCCAAACACTATTTTTAGCTGTTTTCATCTACAACTAACTAGGAAGATGACACATTGTAGCTGTTGTATGCGAAAGTGAGATAAAAATATAAAAATGTTAATAAACATTTGCCAATCTATTTCATTTTCGATGGTCATAAAAAATATTGCGGATATTATTGCCATAGTTATTATACTTAGTCTTGGTTTAATATTCTTTGATCAACATTCTTTAATCAATCGCAACGATAAGCCAAAATTTACTTTTACATTTTATTTATTTATTTATACTTTATGCACAAATGTACATAGGCGGACTTAATGCCTGCGGCATTTTCTGCCAGTCAACCTTAAGGTAATGTGGAGAAGAATACGTGGTCAGGTGCACAATTATAGGAAAATAATTATAAGAATAGACTAAACTAGATAACCTTATTAATATACATACTTTAAGATACATACTATATAATACATAGAAACATACATACATACATAAATAAAAATATAATATATTAAATACATACATACACGATTATCCATCAAAGGAATCTGCTTGCTCTAAAAGATAGCTGCGTAACTTAGTTTTAAACGCATACCGACTAGTAGACATTCTTAGGTCTAAAGGAAGAGAGTTCCATAGGAGAATAGATTTATTAAAGAAGGAAGAATGAAGTACATCAGAGCAATGAGAAGGACACATGAGCAAACGGTTGGAAGCAGAACGTAGATTTTTAGTGTGACTTGTGGACAGGTATTGAAAGTGGAGAGTAAGATAAGAAGGAGCATTATGTGAATCTAGTAATTTACTTAATTTACATTTCTTACAATTCTCTTGTATTACTCTCCAAACTAACCGAAATTAAAAATTACCTTATTTTAATTTGCAATTGAAGAATAATAATTGTATATATGGAATTCAGTTTGATAGAATTAGTATTAAATTTAATCTACCATTACCTTAATACAAAGATAGTATCCACGAAGTTAGTATGAAAATGGAAGACGATATTTGTTTTGGCAGAAATAAACACGCATTCATGATGCGTGTACTGGCTAAATATACTAAACCCAAATCATAACTAGACGTCAAGTTAGCAATAGAATTTGGTTACAATACAAATTTTGATTGCGCCACGATACGATTTACTATCGATAGTAATAAAACTCGCAACAGTAGATTTATACTAGATGTAAAAAAGACGAATTTATGCGAAAATGGAGATAGTGCAGAATATGCGTCAATATATAAAACAAAGAATTTTATTTTATTTTAATGAGAGTGTCATTCGAGCATTTATAAACTTTAAAAATATGCTTACTCAAAAGAGTTAAATGGGATCTCAAACAATATTTAATAATACCTATTTATTGTTGTATCAACTTATTTATATAATTATATCAATTCACTAACTGTTTTCCCGCGACTTTGAAGTCTATTCAATACAAGCAAATAAACAATCAAATCTTTATGATATTATAGATATATGAAAATGAAAATAAGTACTATGTTTGTTTTGATTAAGACATTAAAATCATCTCTTAAAGCAATAAAACTCGTATTTAGTATAAAATGTTGTCAGGTTTTTGTATTTGTCTAAATTATGGATAACCGCAATATAAGAACAACTGTAATTATAATTATCAGAAATAGATGAATGGATTTACATTAATGTACATTTGCTCCATCTTAAAAAAGACATATTTTTTCCTGGTCTAGTATCGTGGAACATAGAAGAAAATAATTGGATCAAATCGAATCAAATTATGTTTATCTTCCAAACAGTGTACAGTTACTTAGCTAGACAGAGATCACTACACTATTACTACACCACTACACTGAAGGTGAGCACCAGAAAAAAATAAAATAATAATTTCACACTTAACTCTAAGAATAATTAGGTCTTCAGGCAAATTATAATATGTATTTTCAAATCTATTACCAGCAATTTAAACATTTACCACAAAATTAACAAAAAAAACAATAAATATGCTGAATGCGTTTGGATGAACAAAGGTGTGTTGATTGTGTAGTTTAAAGTGTGATGTAAAAAAAAAGGGCAGCATGTCAACCAGAAGGTGGAGAGAGGTATTCAGTCTGTGTATAGTTCAGACATTTCAACCAAGTTTTAGTAATTAATATAGCTTTACGTAAGCAAAAGGTATGTACCGGGCTTTTCCAGTAAGTAATATAATCCCTACGGTATGTTATACGTAATATAATTCCTAATATATAATAATGACATTTCTTCTTTAATTATTAATAAGGGAAAATTTATATATTGTCAATAAGCCACGAAATTCGGGATCTGTTTACGAATTCCCTTGACTTCTTACAAGTTGAAATTTCTGTACAAATACTTTAGATTAATTCAGTGTTCCATTCTAGGTATACTATTTCATCTCTGGTTATTTTCGTTAGCTATACTATTTCATATTAGGTCACATGATAATGTATATAAAGAGTAACAATGCATGAGATTCTGCGAGTAACCGAAGACAATAATCAGATTATAATTATAATATAGAAACAAGTTAAACATGTGTATTTTTCAGTATGTTCATATTTTGCCTTCACATTCCCTGATTTCGATGCCATTCGCTAAAAGAATTTAGTATCTGTATAAGGTAAAATAATCATTATATACTCAACAAAGTTTGTACTTAAGATTTACATACAATTATAAAAAACCGTCTGAAATCATTCTAAAAATATAATCATTCAATTTATAATAATATAAACTTGGATACTTCTTGGTTATTCATATTTATGGTCAATATGAATAATCAATTATTATACTTAATAACTGAAGTTTTTACATTATCAAGTAATCATTAAAAAAGATACTAAAAACAGAAACGACAACCTCTTAACTGAAGTTTAAGTACAGTTTGAAGTGTGCTCACCTATAAATTCTCAATTTAAAAACCGGGTGTATGTCACTCATGTATGATGAAGTTTACCATAGGTAAATGTATTTTTATATAGATCCATTAGTCTCAATGCAAACAAAAATTAAGGCACAATATAGTTGAAGATAAATCAAAAATAACTGAAAACATGTGGAAGTCTTACCAGTAAGATTAACGTCTAACAGGACTGTAATTCACGAAGCTCCTTATGCGCCGGTTTCTCAGGTACTGTGGCTAATTGGCTTACCTTTGAAACTTATATACAGTCTTATAATGCAGGAAAACACTGTGAATTCAAAGTTCGCGCGTCCGACGACCAATCATAATGCGTCACCACCTCAATAATAACAAAGTTATTCAAGTATAGTTCCATATCTGTTAGTGACAGATCATATCATCTGTAAAGACGTGTTAATAATAGCTAGATCAAACAGTTCACGGAAGTGCATATTGACGTAATATTTACATTATAAAGTTTGCAAAAAGAGTTTTACGTTAACATACTCAGTTAAGTAAACCTTTTTTGAATGGACAATAATTTTCATGACCCCAGTATAAAATAGTTTTATTTTACACGTAAGGAAAAAAAATTGGTGCGTATGCATAAGAAAATACAAACCCATCGAACATAGAACTTTTAAATTAGAAAATCGGTTTAAAAATATATTTTATCGTTATTTTCCGTGCTCATACAATGCAGCATTATTATTATAATAAATTCGTAAATTAACCTAAATATTTGGTATTTTCTGTGATTTTTCTTCGAGTCATTGTCATTTTTTAAACTCTGTATGGATATTTGGAAACATTGCAGTTTAACTTTAAGAATTTTAAGATTGTGCTTCAAAAATGAGGGTTACAAATAAAATTATCTAATTCAGCGAGTTAAATTTAAAATAAGCGCTTTAGGTATACATATGCAATATACTCATTAAGTTGACAATACGTAAGTACCTATTTTTTACTTTTTTACTGATGACTCAATCACTTTAGTTTGTATGAACATACCTATTTTTTTCTTTGGATAATCGTTTAGAAACTTTTAACACTTGAATTTAATTAGAAAATCAATTATCATTGCATATAATTCAATATTAGTTTAATCAATTCATTAGAAAAACCTAAATATCATCTTAAAGCGTAAAATAATTACATAAATTAAATAATAAGATAGTATACCAATTTACATATAGAGGTAAGTAATGGAATATGGGAGTAATCCCTAACGAGGATCATAGAAATTTCAATAAATTTAGGATAATCGCGATCGGTTTATAGATTCGCTATGCTTATTTCAAACTTCAAAATTCATCAAAATTTGTTTTAAGAAAAATTTCAAAATTAATTTCAGTATTCCATCTTAAATGTTATACGAGTACTATTCCATATTTGAATACTTTCCCGTATAATTGGACAAAAATCAGCAACTCTTTATTGAATTTAGAACAATTGTTAACTAAATATTATAACTTTATCATTATGAAAGAATTTTAAAAACCAATGCAGAAAACAACAACAGTAACAGACACAAAGTCATGTAACACACGCAGGCGGCAAGATGTTCGTTATAAACAAGGATAATCATATAACCTTTCTCTAGTCATAATTTTAATGTTTCGTGAACTTGATCTTAAAATGGACGTCTTAACTACTTTTATTTTAATGCAAATAATGCGTTAACCACAATTATTGTCATATATCAACAGTATAAAGTAATAACTTCCATTAAAACAATGGATTAATATCATATGCGAGCAGCATTGAGTAGTACAAGTAATTGACTTGACTTGATTATTTATAATTTATAGTTTTATTGTTGTTTGTGTGACATGGGTCATAAACCACATTTTATTGTTAACTTTAAGTACCTTGCATATAAATAAGTGTTTTGAAAGCACTAAATCTAAAGACCAACGGCAAGTGATTCTTCTGTCACAATAAATCTTTTTTAGGTTGCAGTGATTACAAAATTATATGGAACTGCATAGCCTAAAATAAAATTTCAATGCAAATTACATATTTAAAAAATGACAAATAAGAACTATTGTTTTATTCTATTTTTTTTTGCCATGCAAATATTATCATTGAAACGAAGATAAATAAATAAACACAGAATATTCAGTCCCTTAATATTTTAAAAGTAATATAGATTCTCGAATATATCAACAATGGTAAGTCAATATTAATGTTTCGTAAAAAAATAATCTTAGCAGTTATCTATTAAAGGTCAAAGTATTTAGTTCTTTGTCAATATCATCTTCGTATAAAACATATGAAGTTCTACTTTGGCACACAGTAAACGTGTTTACGACATACCATTTAAAAAAAAAAGATGAACAAAGCCCTGGTATGTACCTAATTTTTATTTTATTTATTAAACAAATGATCTAATTTGTGGTTTTATAAATTTTCTCGATAAATGGCGACCTATCGCAATCCTTTTCAATATGACATTCGAAACTTATTCAAAAACATCGTTTTACAACTATTTAACATATGATATAGATTACAATAAACGATGTCGTGTGAAAATTTGAACTGTTCGTCTAGCTAGATAAAGCCTGGTAACAGGCAGACGGACAGCGGAGTCTTAGCAACAGAATCCCGTTTTAACCATTTTGGTACTGCGATTCTGTAAAAATCTTAACCCGAATTCGAATTCATTCAAATATCCTAAGAAGCATGTGTAGGTTATATCAAATGACAAAACACCTAATACAATTCTTATTTAATGATAATGCGTTTAAAAAATTTCCTAGCTATTTAATTAATGTTGTTATTTCATCGAAATTAATTATGCTTTATTGTTAAGTTCTAGGAAATGCTAATTTAAAGAATGTGCCACGAGAAATAATACAATACTTTTAATAAGTTATCCTTTATGATGTTATATTAATAAAAATTAACTCAAATTTCATACAATTAACAATAAAAATATATCAAGCTCTTTTGATTAAATCATTTTCTACTTCCTATAAGAATTATAAATACGAGTATCGTTGTTTAAATAATATTGAATGTTGGATATTTGATATGTTAGCGCAAAAATGACTCTAACGTTTCTTAGTATAGTTTTTTCGATCCAGTATAATAAAAATCATGACCTAAATTATCATATTGTTATAGACTTTTGATACGCTGAGATGTGAAAGCGTAAATACTCGTACGCTGAGATATACTATATGTTTATTACCTTCGGAGTAAAACTTTATGGAGATAACTTATCATCCATTTTTTATTTTTGGTTAGTATTAGAACAATACATATAAACTGTACTTATCAAAAATCGTACAAGTAAAATTTAAGAAGGAACTTAAAGTTTCATATTATGGATTTTATTCCGTATTCAGTTAGTTTCCTCTAATAGTTCTAAATAATCGTGTTATTTAATAAAAATGAACAAAATTGCAGTGATAAAGATCTGAGTTACGGAACTTGACGTACACATCGTTTTTTTTTCTCAAAACACGCCTGCGTCGCGCCAGCTGTGACGTCAATATTACGGATACTTGGTTAATCTTTTTACTGCACATGGAATATTCCAGATGTAAATTCCGAAACTCATGGAAGTTTTTTTTTATTTATTTGTATTTGCAATTTGCTTGTGTAATGCCACTGAATCGAACAGCGAAATGTTTGTAGTTTTTTTTAAATCTATATACCTCTATATAAAAGGAAAGATCACTAACTCACTTATCACGAAATTTCAGAAACTGCAAATGCCAGGAGCTTTAAATTTTGCATGCGCGTTCTTTTTAGAACGTAGGTGCTCACTCAGACGGGATTTGACGAAATACGACCTCTAAAGGCCCTTTCTAGATTAGGGGATAAAAGTTTCTATGGAATTTTCTCATTTCTGGACTTAAAACTAGATCACGCGGGCAAAGCCGCTGGCTGAAAGCTAATGGCCTTATACAAATATTCTTATTAGTATAGACAATGAACTTGATTATGAAGGCATTGTAATTAAATATAAATAATGTAGAGAACAGCTTCATAGTACAGTGGTTAGCGCGCTCGGTCTGCGATAAGGTTGTTAAGCAAATTTCGCAAGAGCCGCTCATAGGATGGGTAACCAAAAAGTTAGTATATCGAGCTCTTCCGTGCTTCCGAAGGCATATTAACCAGTTGGTTCTGGCTGCATCTGCAGTTTAAAAATGCTTTGTCCCTGGTCCCATGACATAAGATTCGTACCTACGACCTTTCGTAACCCGAGCGACTGCTCTAACCATTGACTACGTAGGACCTAGCAGGACTGACGAATTCTTCAAGCATTTGTCACTTTTTTTTAATTTGTCTCTGGTCCTCTGAGATGAGATCCGAGTCCACGACCTTTCGCATCCGAGCGACTGCTCTAACCACTGAGCTACCCAGGACCTAACAGGTCTGACGAATTCTTCAAGCACTTGTTACTTTTTCGCTACTACAAAGCGAGCTACAACAATGTTCAGGCAATCCACCCAAACCAATGTTATGTGATTACATCTCTTCTTTGGACGCTAGATGTTCTGCTATGAGTGATTGTATGTATGTGTAAAAAACAGTAATATTAAAACAAAAGGAAATCATAAGATCTGTCAGTGAAACAGAAGAACACAAACAATAGCTTATTATACAAAGCGCAAAAGTTATTTTAAAATAATTACTCACAAACCATTACCATTATGGTAAGGTTCATGTCCAAAGTACACTTGCATATTTTTTTTTATTACAAAACCACTTACATATTATCGATTTTCCTTATAGTGAAATGAATACGATCACGAGATCAAACTAAATATCATTGAATTTCAATTGTACATACGGCTGCACGTCAAGATACTACAATATATCAAATTTCTGCCATGCATTTTGACCTGTACCGTCAATATATTAAGGTTTACAATCGAGTGGGGAAATTTGACAGTTTTGTATAGTCTTACATGCAGTTGACCAGACATTTACATTTGCAAACGTATTTTAGTTCCATAATTCTTTTTTTCTGAAAGACAAAACTCCGAAATTTAGTCACCTCATTTGTTTTATTAAGAGAATACAAGTATTTTCAAACTTTATTACAAGCATGCAAAAATATACTTCTGACATCAGACATTCTCTACAAGGCAATCGGAAAAATATAATCACAGAAAATAGAATATGTTAGTTAAAGAGTGCGTGACTGGTAATAAACCAGCCATAGGGAATGTATAAATAAATAGATATTAACTTGACGACCAACTTAGCCGAGTGTTT